ATCCGCAGCTAAACAAACGCAACAAGGTTGCTACTGGCAAGGGTGCAGAAGTACCTGGCAAACCATCCGATAGGCAAGCCGCTAATGAAGCTGCTGCTGTCAGAGCAAGGGAGAAGGCTCAGGCTGATGCCAGGGAGGTGCAGGCTGGCCAAACACCATACACCGAGCAACCCCTCGGTCTGCCCAATGATTTGGCGCAGGACGTCGAAGATGCCGTGAATGAGATCAAGAAGGAGATCGAAACCAGGAGACGACGTGGCAGTGTGGTCACGATGCCTACAGGTGCAGAACTGCGGAACGTCCTTGAGCAGAAGCTAGGCAAGGCTCCCTTTTAATATGCCGTAATGAGATATAATAATATTGTATGGTTCCGCGGTGCTATATCCTGGCTACTACGCCCTGTTTTGCATGCGTCTTTGCTGCTACTATGCCCTAATTAGAGAGGAAGGAGGATTGTTGACTGCTTATCTTGGTTGCTCATTCTCCTAGGATCTCAACGATTTTGAAGCACGCCCTATGTTTATACCCTAGAACGACATCTACTATGCGCACAACTTGCCATCCACTCGAATAATTGGTTTGATTTTGGTTGGTCATCAGAGTAGAGAAGAAGTAATAACATGTCATCATAGAGAAGGATGGGGAGGGCTGACATGGTGTGGTGAACATTGCCAGAAATAGAAGAACGAAAACGTATTTTCAAATATTAATCGGCTTTTTTTACATCCATTTTCAACATATTGTGTCAAGCCACCTGATATGGATATATAGTGACAAAAAGGGTTGCAATTTTTATAGGCGTAGTGCGTATAGAAGAAAGCAAGCGTTGAGTTTGGCAATTTGATCGCAAAAGGGAAGGTGGGTGGTAAAATATGGTATAAAGTCAAATGGCAAGAAAAAGATGGTTGAAGAACCAGAAACTAATAGTTTCAACGAATAAAGGGGCCATAAGCAGAGGCGAGTGTGTGGGAATAGAAACTAATAATAAGGTATACACAGTAGGGTTTAAGGGGGAATCAAATAAAAGTCAATAGAGGTATAATGCAGATGAAAGGACCCGAAAGTAAAGACGGAAGCAAGGGATTTGCGCGCTTTCGTTAAATCGTATAAAGGAGAAAATCATTCTCCTAAACGTGCATTGTTTTGGTAAGACGCAAAAGACGAAAATTGGAAAAAGAAAGCGAATATAAAAAAGCCAAACCATCATAGAAAACGTGGGACCATAAACGGTTGTATATATATATAAACGTGCCATATAGGAATCCGTTGCCGTATTAGAAGCGTAAGGGCATAAATACTAATTAATGTTGTTTTACAACATGAAATCAAAAAACGAGGTCATGTATCATAGGGCGTTTCGTGATCCAAGAACGGATAGTGTGATCTATTATGGGTATTAGTAGAGGGATCATAATTATATGGAGAAATTTTTAATGAACATACAACTATTATAATGATTGACAAGCCAACTGGTGTCATGCAACGGTTCAGATTCCGCCACCATCGGGCGTTTTCGTAACGTAAATTATCAGCCAGGACTGCTCGGTGAGCAGCCGCTTTTTCAATATCTGGCTGCCCTGGCATTCCGTTGTCAACAGATGGTGGCTTGATTGGCAAAGGCAGAAACGAGGCAATCAACCAGGCTGTGGATGAGGATGTCAGAATATGATGGACAAACTTGTCAATAAAGAGTTGTAAACATACCCAATGGAAAGATAAAACCAAAGCAAAAACTGAGCACTTGCATGTTTCGTCTACTCCATATATATTCGCCAGATTCGTCGTATGGTGGAGCCTTCCATATTTTCCTCTCAGTTGAACGGAATCGTTTATCTGTATACAGATGTGGTGACCAGACACCCCTGGGTGTCACTTCGCGAGAGGGCTGAGGTGTAATCTCATCTTCTCCAACAATACCGGCCCAATGTGTTCTCGGATCACGAGAGTCTCGTCGGATGGCTTTTGGTTTAGGCTCAACCTGGGCTTGTTCCGATTGCTCCACTTGTATTTCTGCTTCTGGTATCGGCATCGATTCCTGCCGCCGTACTTGCTGTGACTCTAGATGCTCTTGTCGTTGTACAGGCTGGCTCCCTCGGCGAGGCCGTGTTCGTGGACGCGAGATATTTCCAGGCGGTACACGGACTACAGCTTGATTTGATAATTCCTCCAAGGGCTCTGAGTAGGAGACCTGGGTCACAGCAGGGATTTCTCGTGGGGTATTTGGTCTGCTAACTTCAACTAGAGAAACAGCCGAAAGAAAGGCAAGGTTTCCACCTTGGTAGTATAGCTTTGCTCACTGGGGAATAGTAGTTAGAAATTGACTTGCTGTTGACCCCGACCGGCTTAGAGAGCCTCGTCTTGAGAGGGATGACCGATAGCTGAGGGTGGCGGATGTCTTATGCTTTAGAACACGCAAGGCATGAAGATGGGTAATGCGGTCGCTAACCTCATCCATCTCGGATTCATCCATTACTGAATAATCTGGCATCTCGGATTGCTGGTGTGCGGAGAGCCAAGATTGCTCAGTTTCAGTCACCTGTCTGGATCTCCCTTGGGTGCCATCGAGGGATAATGACGGAAGATTGTGTCGCTCGTCCATTGGAATTGACATGTCAAACGAGACGGAGGACAAGTCCGGGTTCCAGCGTCGAGTTGGAGGACGGGCTACTGCCAACGGCTCTGGGATGGAGACCATGGACGTTTCTGCGTACGAGCCGGACGACGAGGGTGGACGTAATATCGGGTACTGTATAGGAACTCCGCTGTCCATAACGGCCTGGATATCAATATCTGATGGCATGCTGGGTAAGGAAACATTCCCTTGGCTTGACCGTGCATTGAGATCAAGTGTTGATGTCGATTGGTACGACCTTAGCACTGGGACCGGGGGGCTCGAGGGGATGGACGGAGTATGGGAGTCAGATGGGGCCGCGGATGCTGGTTCTGAAGTGGTATTCTGCCCTCCTCGATTGCGGATATACCTTATCGCCGTTCCAAACGAATTTGCCGAAAACAACGAAGACTCGGAAGCGCGAGTCCTGACAACGTTAGGAGAAGAGCCAATGGGAAGCAAATTTGGCGACGAACTGTTCAATGGCACCAGGTTAGGACTGGATGTATACCCAATCCGGGCAACATTCGAGGACGAATTTGAAGAGGACGAGTAGCCACGAGTAATAGAACATCCGATTAGGAGGGAGCCGTCAGACGGAGGAGATCTGCTTGGAGGCGTACGGCTTGATCGTGACAACTCTCGTTCCCGCTCATTGACCAACTTGATAGTAGTGGCAACAGGCCTTGGAAGCGCGGTTACGCTACTGCGGTCAGAAGATTTCTCCTGGTCGTTATCGTTGCCACTATCACCACTCTCTGAGGCCTGTGGGGTGACTGAGCGAGCGACAGTAGTGTTACTCGACTTTGGATCCTGGCCCCATATTGCGCTTGAAGTGTTTCCCATAAAAGTGGAAAGGTCCGAGGCGCTTCCGGTGGGTTGTTGGCTGGAACTGGAGGATTCTAGATCCGGAGAAACACTGGGCCTAGAACTCCAAGTATTGGAGGGAGTAATTGTTGAAGGAGTCCCGCTTCTAGTTATACGGCCTCTAGCAGATGAGGAACCTGGAGGCAGTAGTACATGAGCGGGTTTGGTAGGATATGGGTTAGCAGAGTATATGTCAACATCGTCTGGGTTGCTGAAGACATCATCATCCTCCGAGTAGTCAGTTTTGTTTGATACCAGTCGGAGTGTTGGTGAAACTGGATGGACAGGCGAAGGCGGGGAGACGGCATTGTTCTGCGAGTTTGTTCGTTGATGGAGTGGACGGCGCTTTGGTGTTGACCTTCTAGATGAAGGGGAAGATAAAGACATTATCGTGGACCCTAACTCGACTTATTCCTCATCGCATTACTCCACGGGAAAACGGGCTGTTGAAAATAAAAAAATCCCCAAGAGGGAAGAACGGTGATAGTATGTAGAGGGGGAAAGAATATATATATAGAAACAAGAAATAAGAACAAATGCTCCACGAACGGCTGGAGAAAGGAGTGCTGATATGGCGGCTCTAGATGTGAAGGATCCCGAAATTAAGGCTGAAGAATCGAAGTAGGAATGGTCTCGCAGTGAGCGTCGAAGAACGAATTAATGAATAAATGAATGACAGGGCGCCTAGAGGATAGCCGCCTTAAGGAGCTGGATGCTGGACCCTGGGGGTGCTGCAGTTGAAAGACTGATGCTGGAAGTGTTTCAAAGGCGGTTAAATTTAGAGTGAGCGTGGTGTGCTAATTGGGTGGCACGTAGAAAGCTTATTAAATGGGTAGAATTATGGGTGAATTACATGAATATATATAAAGAGCGACTGTGAAGAAGAGAATGACAGACAAGAAACAATGGCAAAGAGAGAACGAAGAACGAAAAGACCGAGAGACGTCGAAGAGTTGATGTTGGAGAGAAAAAGATTCGCTCAGCCGAGATGAAAAAGGGAGAAAGAACGCAAGGCAGTCACGGGGTCTTAGTCATCAGGTACGTGGAGGGCGGTGAGCGGGCCGTTTCTTTTGAGTTTAAAGTTGGGGACCCACACTGGCAGAAATCGAGATAAGATCAAGATAAGATAAATATAGATCAGGTAGTGTTCGAGAGGACGATGATGAGAATGAGAAGAAGAAGATGTTGTTGATAATGGTGAAATCAAACATAGGCAAAAGGGTGGGTGAGAAATGTGCCGGTTGAAGGACAGCTGCAGAGCTGGGTCGGGTGCGGAAAGAACCCTGGGTCGGGCACGCACGTCTTGACTGGTTGGGGTCGAGCAGCGCGCGTCGTTGTACGGAGTTTGCAGAAGGGAAACGACGTGCTCCACTCGGCGTACCTTGTTACAGTCGGCTGCCAGAAGTCACCACGCCAGACCCACTGCTTAGAATGATAGCAATATAAGGATTACCCACTATGACTTAATCAACAGAGCTTTTTTCTCAAGAACAAACAGTATTTAGATTAAATTAGAGACAGGTGGAGAAAAGAGTAAAAACATTAGAGAAAGTAGTGTAAATAAACAATTTTTTCCGTAAAACTTCTCCATATGCTAGTGTGAGCCCTCGGTACTGCCTCTGCCGCGACAGGGTTGAATTGCTTGGTTGAGCAGTGTTTGTCAGTTCTGCGATTGTCGAGTATATACTTATCCAGCAAGAAGGCTGAATTTGGTTTTGAAAGAAGAAATACAGCCCCCAGCCAAAGCCTTGGAGAGAGCCAGTGCTATGGTGAAGCAAGTGGCTTTGTGGATGGCTGAGACTGAGACCTGCTTTCCGCTCTGGCGCTCGCGCCGTTTACGCCATTGACTTCTCCAATGGGTGCTTACATGCTAGGCTCCTTAACAATGTATAATAATGATCTGAAGCAAGAAGAGAAGCATGTTTGAATTTGATACAGACTATCCAGAATACCTCGATGCTTGAGTTGAGGTACGGTGCATGAGCAAGCCATGCCTACGAGTTCGCTTTTGGTTTTCACTTTCATGCAGGTCGTTTTGTAACTTCGTCTCCTAACCAAAGATTTTGAAGGCCACTATTTCCTCGCGTTACGATTGGTTCAGCAACGGAAAATATACTTTTTTCCCCTGAATATTTTGCGACTTGCCTCACTTTTCATGACCATGCTTACCCCATGTGATAACTTCTATACCACATGATATAACTGGCATTTACATTATTGATAGTGATCTCAATTTCCAGTCCTTCAAGCTATGATCGCCTGTGTGTCACACCTTAAAAGTCCCGAATCCAGACGACTCGGAAGAAATATGTTTTGAAGATGGAAATACAAGTTCAAATTATTTATGTAACGATACTTCGTATGATTAGGCTATTGGAGGATTAACGAAGGCCCTCGTAACCCAAAAAAAAAAAAAAAATTATGAGCTACCTTAAAGTGCTTGGAAACAGGTACAACAGTACCCTGTTCTCGAATCATTCCCTGTATTTGTTTATTTTGGTGGGAATCTGTACAACCAGCCCGGCAGCTGTCTGATGGAGCAGATGCAAATGTCAACGAAGCATATGCTGTGTGCACTGCTATTTCATGCACTCACCGTGATGTACCCACTTGGAGATGTGCCGTTTCTTCTCCTGCACGTCTGCGAGTCCTGGAGCGCCGTCACCAACATTCTTCAACTTCCTATTCGCGGCGAGGGTTGCCCTTGCAGAAGGAGGCACGGCATTGACTTTCTAGTTATTGCTCCTAGTAAACTCACAAAGGATTGGCAACCAGGCACTCCACCCCCAAAGGCAAGCGAAATTCCGGTCCACAAGCCAGGAGGCTGGGAATGGGACCTGTGTTCGTTTTTATGAGAAAAAGAAAACAAGCCCATTCTCGGGCCTTCGGACCCTTTCAACTGTTCTCCATCTTTCAGCGCACTTTGTCTCTTCTGGCGCTGGGTAAACGGAGTTGTTGTGTTTGGAAATCCGCCAGTGCCGCCGGCGTTGTTGGTCAGGAGTCGCTGGCTGAAAAGGCTGAAACGAGGACGACTAACCTAAACCAGGCTTTTCACGTGACATTATATTATGTAATTAAGATTATGTACTTTGAGTTATGTAATAAAATAATTAGGGGTGATAATAAAGTGAAGGTCCAGACCGCCAAGGCACATGACCCTTGCCAGTTAAGGCCACGCTTTGGGCGACCATCTCGAAAACTCCGTCTTCACGCCCCGAGACAGTGTCGACTCCCTGTGGCTGCACATTTGTGTTTCTTGAGTTTGCCTTGCTGCCTTGCTTTGCGAAAACCTGGACCTGGCTTTATTGGAAAGCCCTGTCCTACTTAATGAAGGTCGGAAACATGGCCTCCGGGCTCTTCGAGAGGCTGAGGCATTACTATCATGGTGACAAAGGTACGTGGCGGTAGAAGACCGAAGAGGGAGGAGGATCCGGTAGCGGGTTGCTTTAGAGTATACAGACGATGTTCTGATAATAGAATCAAGAACCCGAGCCTCTTATTTCCGTGACCACTGCTGTCTGGTGTTCGGTACGTATGCAATGTAAATTTGATAGACCACGTATGTTTCGATTCGAGGCAGGGGAATGTGCTAACTGCTATCAATAGATACTATGCACAGTTTTATATGTTGCTCCATTGTATATCTCCAAGGCGACTCGGCCAGGGCCAACCTTGAGCCGTGATGCGCCGTCACTGATCAAAGCCCGTATCCGAGCCGTGATGGTGTCATGTCTTTGCTGCAGCGTGGCCACATTTTATTTCATCGTCCATAGTGGAAGGAGTACTCCGCTACAAGCCCTTCAACTCCTGGGGTGGTGGCCAATTGGGCTGCCAGAAATCGGAAAGAGTTTTTTGCTCACAACCTTGTTGTTCATGGGTCCGTTATTTGAAATGGGGATTGCCGAAGGTAGATGGAGGAATTGGGTTAGAGGAAAAACACTGGTCCAAACTCTTCGTTCCTGGACAGGATGGAGAAACTACGTTGCTGTCAGTAAAGATATCCTTTTCTGGGTAATGCCACAGTACATCATAAGCTAATGAACGAGTAGGGCCCCATAACTGAGGAAATAACTTTCCGGTCTATCATCATCGTAATTAATCTGATGGCAAAGATGTCCCCAGGCCGAATTGTGTTTCTGACTCCCCTATATTTCGGTATTGCGCATATTAACCATTTCTATGAAACTAAGCTAGCGCAGCCGGACACTCCACTTCTCCCAGTTCTGGTCCGTTCGCTCTTCCAGTTCACTTATACTACCATATTTGGATGGTATGCCACCTTTCTCTACCTGAGGACTGGCTCCCTTCTAGCCGTTATGCTAGTGCATTCATTATGCAATTACTGCGGTCTACTTCGTCTATGGGGCCGTGTTGAGACATCAATCCCGATCGAGAGCACTCTGATCAGGGCTGCCAAATTCGACGAGGACGAGAACATATTTGGCAGGGTAGATGAGGCAACTGGAATTGGCTGGAGTGTGGCGTACTACATCCTTCTGTTTGCTGGGGTGGGATTATTCTATTATCAGTTTTGGCCGCTGACGGAATCTTCAAAGGCGTTGGTGTCGTTTTCGTCTAAAATGCATTAAGAGATGGACAGACTGGGGTATAGGACTGATGGAGCATCTTGAGCGCTTCTAATTATTACTTTGTAATATGCTGATTTTCTTCTCTTTAAGAAGTGTGTTTTTTCTAATGGAAGTATTCTTGAGGCCTTGCTTTCATATTGATGCGGTAGTTAACGCCGAAAACCCGATACTCCCGATCGGTGCGGAGATAAACCTCACGACGTCAACGCGACTAAAATTTCACTTTGCAAGGAGACTTGGATTCTACCTGTCTTCTACAATAATTAATGTGCAAACAGTAAACTCTTGTCTTTTCATTCTAGGGGAGATAAGAGACATTACAATGCGCGGGATACGCAGCCAGTGTTATCGTGTTCAGCAAATACGTTGTAACCGATATTCAACTTCACGACGCATCGCGATTCCTATTCCTCCACCGTTCCCCGTTGTGCAGTCATGCCCCGAACCGATGTGCCCCTGTACACCAACGCCCGCCGGCCTCGAAATTGACCATGACCAAGATCTTAATGGCACCATGGCGCCTTACGCCCAACAAGTTCTCATATCCACGGGACAACGAGATTGGCGAAGCCGAATAGAAGAGGATGGGCTAGATAGGGGATGGGGTATACTGGGCAGCAGATTGAAGAAACTACTGTTTCGAACGGGGAAGTTTGCTGATGTAAGTTGCTCCTCAGCTTTTCCTGGCCCAAATTATATCCGAAGAGCGTTATCCTAATGTTTTCTTGTCTTACAGCCTTATAATAACATTGTCATTACAAATTCTTCCTTTATACCTTCAACCGATAAGTTAGACACATCTCGCGCTTCAGCCCTACTCTTTCCAAGTTCTAAGTACATTCCTGATATCCCACTTGATGACGATGGATTGGATCGATTCGTTCGCGCATTCCTTCTCCCAATAATCCCCCATAGAGCGCACGAAATTCTACCCGCCGATAAATTGGAAGCAATGAAAAGGCTCCCAGAACTTCAAACTACATTTAAGTCTATGAAGAGCATAGATCAGTCGCCTACGATTTTGATTTGTGGGCACGGAGGTCGAGACAAACGATGTGGAGTTATGGGCCCTTTACTTGAGTCAGAATTTAGCAGAGTACTGATAGATGAAGGTTATACTGTTGGAAATGCCCCAGTTGATAAGTTGTATCACGCGAATATTGGTTTGATAAGTCATATTGGCGGTCATAAATATGCCGGCAACGTTATTATATACATACCCTGTTCCCTAAGATCCAACTCGGGGGATGTTAACACGTTGGCTGGGAAAGCTATCTGGTATGGTAGGGTAGAGCCGAAACATGTGCAGGGAATCATAAGAGAGACGATCTTGAATGGTCGTGTGATAAAGGACCATTTCCGTGGAGGTATAGATGGGGATGGTACGGTGCTGCGTATATAGATGTGTTCTAAATGTTTGTGTATATAGATTTTTCAACGTAATACAGCCAGGTTACCAAAATATATTCTGATTGGAGGCAAGCTTTCGGGCCTCGGAAGTAGCTAAATTTAGTAACCTTCGAGCCCAAGGTTTGTGGAACCCGACCGATGATTCATGATTGCTCATTCGGCATCTTTATGAACAACAACGAGTGGCGAAAACGTGTGCCTTCAAGGCGAAACAAAAACCACGATACATTCTATATTCCCATCTCTGCCACAAGATGGTATATATATTACGGGATTGGCTCGGCCTTTGTCGAGTACTCAAGGTCTTTCCATCCAAATTCGACCCCTGACAATCTCTACTCCCTTGCCAGCCCCCTTACGTTCAACCAAAGAATTACATCTCATACCATAAAACTGGCCAACGTTGGAGCAGCCTGCGAGCAGACACTAGCAGATATGGATACCAAGTTCCCTTCATCTTGCAGGCTATGCAATATACCCCTTGATAGCCAAGGTGCTTGGCGACAACATGCCAGGAGTGAATTGCAGTAAGTTTGATCTTCTCATTGGAAAGAAAATACAAAACGGATCCCTAATATTTCTGCAGTATACATAATCTTCGCCTGCGAGTAGCAGAGCCTGGAAGCACCATATTGCCCTTACAGTCAAGGGCAAAGACCATCAACCCAGACCACGATTCCCTTTCAGAAGATGACTCAGATGAAACAGACGAGGACCAACCTTGGATGTTGGAGTTTGATCCTGAACAATGCCTTTTCTGTGGTGAAGCAAGGGCCTCATTTGATGACAATATTCTCCACATGTCAAAGGCGCATAGCTTCATCATACCATATCAAGATCACCTGGACGCCGACATCACACCCCTTCTGAGATACCTATACTTTGAAATTTTTGGGTACCACAGGTGCATATTGTGCTCTACTCATCGAAGAACAGTTGAAGGTATTCAACACCACATGATGGCGAAGGGCCATTGCAGATTCGACATTACTTCGCACACTTCCGGCTTTTATAATTTCCGCCAGGAACACCATAAAACAAAAGTTGCAGGTATTAGCCCATTACTGCGGCTATCTCCAGTTAGAATCTACGGCTATCGTACTCGAGTGTCTGATAAGTATCGTCAATCGCTGGGGCGCAGAGATTCTCCTCAGTCGCTGCTCCATGCAACAGAACAAGGGAGTACTGAAACTGAAGATGATAAACCAACCTCAGCTTCCTGCACCCAGTTATTAGGACTCAGTCGAGGCGATCAGAAAGGTTTAGCGCATCTGTCCAATCCTGAGCTTCGATCATTGCTTGCTATCCGAGCGAAGCATATTGGCCAATTGAGGCGAAAAGAGACAAATGCCAAATTGAAGCTTGAGAAGGCTGGAAACATAACTTTGACTGCACATTTTAGGGCAGATACATCTAAGAGATTCAGGGGTCCTTGGGGGTAGGCGAGCTGACATGGGTTCAACTTTGTATAGTAATTTAGATCGGGTGTTACTTTTAACCTTACGTAGCAATAACTAAGTTAATGGTTAATGACTTGATGTGAGAGTAAGACGTAATAGCAACCTCATAACTGTCACCTAATAAAATGATGGGGATATAGAGACGAACATTCGTTAGTTATTCCAGCTGTGCCTTTCAGCTAGGTCGCTGCACTAGGTAGGTGCTGTAACTTAGTGTCAGGATGTAGCTTAGTCAGCTTGCTTCGGCATATATGAATCTGAAAATTTTACATATAGCTACACCATCATCAAGGCTCAAATTGATCATCTTTACGCACGTATATTCGTTCAATTCAACGTTTTAACCAATCATATCTGCTTCTGCTGCCTTCAATTTAACACTTAGGTGAATACCGAACCTCATGTTATCAATCTGATAAGATCTGCACTAGCCAGGATAGGAATGGCGCAGGAACAAGTAATCTGTCGGGTTTATTTGAGCTCATCGTTTGCTTTTTTCCTTCATGGATAGCTGGGGAGAGGAGACCTCCAAAGATAATGAGCTGGGGCTGCCATGTGGGTTTCCTGTGCTATTCGAGGTTATATTCGATTCGGCGGACCACCTACGGTCTCGCGTCACCTTCTACAAAAGTTTCGGAATCACCCCGTTCGCACCGCAAGCACGTATGCCAATGCCAACCAATCGGCTAAGAAGCTAGACCTTCTAGCCATTGATGAAAGATGGAAAGAATTATGGAAGGACAGGGAGGCTTCGGTTCGATTGAGCAGCAGCAAGGAAAAGACCTACGTACTGCCCATGTTCCCCTACCCATCTGGAACTTTACACATGGGCCATGTTCGAGTGTACACGATATCCGACGTTCTAGCTCGGTTCAACCAGATGAAAGGCTATGATGTTCTACATCCTATGGGATGGGATGCTTTTGGTCTCCCTGCTGAAAATGCTGCCATTGAACGAGGGATCCATCCCGAAGGCTGGACGAATCAAAACATAACGAATATGAGGAATCAGTTGAAAGATTTGGGTATACGATTCGATTGGGATACGGTACAGCATCCATTTCAATACGTTTGTCAGATCACATGGAACTTGGATAACAGATTGGATGCTAATTGGTATTTTTTTTATTGTACCATAGGAGGTTAAGACTTGCTCGCCTGAGTTTTACAAACATACCCAGAAGCTATTTTTAATGCTTCATGAAAAAGGCCTTGCGTACCAAGCGGAAGCCGTTGTGAATTACGATCCTGTTGATAAAACAGTTTTGGCAAACGAACAGGTATTAACAACTACCTATGCGAATTGGTGAAGCAGTCACAGCTGATAAATATGTTCCCAAAAAGGTCGACTCCAATGGATGCTCTTGGAGGTCTGGCGCGAAAGTCGAAAAACGGGAGTTAAAACAATGGTTTTTCCGAATCACTGCTTTTAAAGAAGCATTGCTTAAGGATCTCGACTCATTATCTGGCAGCTGGCCAGATAGGATTCTGACAATGCAAAGACACTGGCTAGGAAAGTCGCGAGGTGCTCTTGTCCCATTTACGTTATCAATTCCGGGAGAAACCCTTGATATCGAAGTTTTTACCACCCGTCCTGACACACTCCATGGCGTTCAGTATATCGCACTGTCGACCAGCCATCCAGTGGTAAAGAAAATGGCTGCCAACACCCCGGAGCTCCAGAAATTTATCAATTCCACCGGCTCACTACCACCCGAGACGAAGGCAGGATTCAAACTCCCCGGAGTCAAAGCAATCAACCCAGTTTATAATCTTGAAGAGAACCCTCATTTACCCTCTTCGCTCCCAGTTTATGTTGCACCTTACGTCCTCCCAGATTACGGAGAGGGCGCAGTCATGGGGGTCCCTGGACATGACTCTCGCGATTTCGGATTTTGGAAAGAAAATTCTCCTTCGGAACCTATTGTGTCCGTGGTTATACCATTGAAACCAGGCCCAGACTCCAATGATAAATACAATGTGGACTCGGCGTTTTCAGGGCATGGACAAACCACTGATATATGCGGGTCCTACAGCAAGATACCCTCAAAAACCGCTGGTGAAAAAATAATCAATACTCTGAAGGATAAAGGAAGCCGTGCTAGATTTGTCGAGAATTGGAGGCTACGAGATTGGCTTATCAGTCGGCAGCGATATTGGGGTGCCCCTATCCCGATTATTCATTGTGACAGCTGTGGGGCTGTGCCGGTTCCTGCTAGCCAGCTACCAGTTGAACTTCCTGCTATTCCAGGGTCTCAACTGAAACACAAGACAGGAAATCCTCTGGAGTCGGCAGACGAATGGCTACACACCGAGTGTCCAAGCTGCAAGGGACCAGCTAAGAGAGACACTGACACCATGGATACATTTGTAGACTCGTCGTGGTATTTCTTAAGATTTTTGGACCCGAAAAACAACGATCTGCCGGTGTCGCCCTCGAAATCTCGTCCTGTGGACATATACATAGGAGGTATAGAACATGCTATTCTCCACCTTCTTTATTCTCGTTTCATCTTCAAATTTCTTGCTGCTGAAGGCATGATTGAAAATGCTGCGGACCCCCCAGAGCCGTTCCTCAAACTATTGTCTCAAGGCATGGTTCATGGCAAGACCTACTCAGATCCTAAGACTGGTCGATTTTTACGGCCGGGTGAAGTTGACCATTCTGTTAAAGGCTCCCCAGTGCTCACTGGTACCCAAATTCCCGCCAACATATCTTTTGAGAAGATGTCAAAGAGTAAGTATAACGGAGTAGACCCGAATACTTGTATCAAAAGTTATGGAGCAGATGCTACACGTGCCCATGTTCTTTTCTCTGCTCCTGTCAGTGAAGTATTAGAGTGGGATGAAACCAAGATTGTGGGCATTCAAAGATGGTTCAGTCGCATTTGGAAGGCCGTGGAAGATACCGGCAATTCTCTCAAAAGGGCAAACTTCTCATCAGCCCCTGATGCTCTTTTATCTTTAAATGGCATGGCCCTGCCACCGCTAGGCAAACTCACGGAAACCGAGAGCAACCTTCTTCTTATGACAAATAACACAATATCGTCAGTCTCATACTGCCTAGAGAAGAATCAATACGGCCTTAATACAGTCATATCAGATCTAATAAAGCTCACCAACGCGATTGCAGCCGTGCAATTACCCGAAGAATCATCGAAAACATCTTCAGCACAATCGCTCACGTCGTTACATACAACCCTGTATATCTCACTAAATTCTCTCCTACGCATGTTGGCGCCGATTGCCCCAGCTTTCGCTTCTGAATGTTGGGAAGTACTACACAAGCCTCTTTTTGAACGCGTTGACACTGTCCCACCGGTCTTATCTTCTCCATGGCCGTCTGAATTTTTGTCAGAATCGGATATCAAGCAAATTCGCTCGCGTGGAGCGAAGACGGTAGCAGTTCAGGTCAATGGGAAACTCCGGTTCACTGCATCTGTGCCACCCTTTTCGGGCAATAGCACTACCGCAGAGTCAATCAGCAAGGAACAAGAGCAGGAATGGATATTATCTCACGTTCTCAGTACTAAAGAGGGAAAGGTTTGGCTCCAGGAGAAAAATAATTGGGATAAACGCAAACGAGTCGTCGTTGTGGGAAGTGGAAAGGTCGTCAACGTTGTCTTCTAGTATGGTTAGATAATTGTATATTATGTATAATACTTCGGATTTCATGAACTAGAGGACTGCCATTTATAGAAAGGCAAATGAATATGATATTTTCAACTCTCTTTTCAAGCTCAGAAATATAACTAAGTGTATTCAATAATTTATCTTGACATCTGATAATCCAATCATTTGTACCTAAAAGACCGTGTGATATGCGTTTGAAAAGGGACCTCGAAGGAGAATCGCATGTTAGCCAGCCAGCGGGAAAATCAATCAACACAAGCGAAAGTGATAACAAGGTATTTGTTCGTATGCCCCAGGCAATACAGAAATATGGCTAACATGTCAAATGTAGCTAGGGATAGAGAGAGTCAAAGAGCGAGCATCCAGTTCCAACTATTGGGAGAGATATAACCAGAGGGACCGGTTCCATTCAAAACAAGGAGATATCCTGTCAAGATATGATCTGACAAATCCTGTCAGATAGGGAAAATAGGAATATTAGGTTCAGGCTTTGATCGGAGATTAGGCGAATGAAATAGGGTATACGATATTGCTTTTTTCAACACCAAACCTCATATCCAAGGCGAAGATTGATAAGTTGCGGGAAGGGGGGATAAATGGGCATTGTGTTGCCACTGTGCTGAATAAGAGCTAATTTGGCTGTCTCTTAGCCGCATTGCTGCTTCAAAGAGCACTTGCTGGGAATCTTGCGGTGGGATAGGAGGAAGCATCTTGTCCGTCAGTCTCCGGGGCGTGCCTGACGAGTATGTGGAGACGGATGGTCTTGGGGAGGCCGAATACGGCTGAACATAGACAGGTCCAGGCTGCGCAGGTTGCGCAGGATATGCTGGGGTGGGCTCGAATTTGTGCGTATCATTAGAATGATAGTAGTGGTTGTATCGATGATGTGGATATAGAGGCTTCAACAGAGCAGAATCCAGGGATCTTCGAAGGCTCCCGGACCTGTTAAGTGTTGGCGTTGATGGCATGTTTAGCAGTTTCTGGGAAGAATTAGGTCCCACTAAAGTCGGGGTTGACACATTTAGTCGAGGATTCATCGGGTATATTCCGTAACTAGGTGGATATAGTTCAGCGGGTGCAACAGCTGGGCTGAACTTCGAGAAATGATAAACTGGGGAGTTGAATGCTAGCCTTGGAGTTTGCGGTGTGGCAACGTCGGGACAATGCATTTTAGGTACCATATCATTGCTATGATAGGATGCATTGCCCGAGACCAGCGTTTCCTTCATCACACTTCTTCTTGTTTCTGATGCAGATCTGATATGCGGTAGCGGCCCGACGGAGCTAGTTTTCACTTCCTTTCGAGGAGGGAATTCTCCGATGTTTGGTTTTGAAATTCCGGCGACCCCCAAGCCTGACTTAGCCGAAGAGTCAGGGGTCTCCTTCGGCATAGAATTTCGTAGCTGTATGATGTCCATCTCCTTCTCTATCCGTTCGGGTCGGTACACCTCTACAATACCAGAATCTGCACCACCAAAGCTGCTCCATGTGCTGCGTTTATCCCATATATGTCCATCTGGTGAAGTCGATGGTCCGTCTCGGGGGCCGCGCAAAATGAGAAATAAGGCAGAATTAGCAAAACCAAAGATGTGAATTGCAATTGAGGAAACGAGGCCAGAAGCTTGCGAAGGATGATGGCGTAGAGCAGATACGTAGAATGGCAACGGAGAGATCTGGTTAAGGTATTTAGTACAAAAGTGTACCGGATTAAGCGGAAAATGAATGTACTAACATATAATATGGATCCAAGCACAAGATGAAATATGCCATGCTTCATAACCGTCCTTCGATCTCGACTCAGCCGCCTTGACTTCCGAAGGCGGAACATCAGAACTGAGATGGTTGCAAAGTAAACTGCAACTAGTAGAACCGTTAAACCAGTGGCAACATCAGCCCATCCCTTTACCCACTGAGATGGCTCTGCAGAACATCTGCTACTCAAGTTTGGTTTGGCTGCGGATGGTATCCAGGTTAGTATTAATAGGAGTAATATCGCTCCCCCGCAACTCAAGGCAAGCCAGATGCCCTTTGGAAAGTTCTTGGACGGGATGACGCCTCTCAGGATAAACGTTAGACACAACGCAAAAAGCATATATGCATTGATCCACGAAGCTAGGGTAACAAACAGGGATTAGCACTCCAGGTGCGATGTAGATTAGGAAAGAAGAACTCACTAGTCCAAACAACCTGAGATGAAGCCTTGCAGCTATCACCATTGATGGGCCGATAACTGCTTGATTGTGAAGTGATGAACGCCGTTTCCTGAATGATTGAGGTTATCGAAAGGGAGTACGGAACAACGTAAGGATTTGGTATGTGGAATAAGATTCTGAAAGGGTTTCTATATATTATGATAGTAAGTAAGCGTTGAGATATGTATGGAAGGTGGGTAAATATATAGAGAGCTGTATACCGTTGAAAAGATCTGGTTTTCCGTAGTATCTTCCAGTTATCAAACAATATCACAGCAGATATGACAAATGATGCAATCAAACCAAAGGATGAAGTAGCAACGATGAACATGCGACGCTCCAAGTCCTCCACGTTCGAAATATTATATTCACTGTCCATAGTTTGCGTACTGTTATTCATACTGTTAATTCCGTCCGGGCCCTTAAGGTGTTGAACTACAGAAAGATCTTGAAATAAAGATCAAAGTAGAACAATCCTCAGGCTCGACGTCGACGACGCCACCACTCTAGCCTTCGCGTACAGTCTGCCGGCAGAATACTCGTGCGGTAGGAATATCAAGGGAGTTAATAGAACAGCTTGAAGTAGCAGAAAAGTTAAGTGAAATAACAATTTTCCCCCGATGCAACCGTATTGAGGAGAGAAATGCTTGCAAGTTTCCAGGTAAGCAAACCTCGACGAGAAAATGTCTGAGAGACCAGGCCAGATATAAAAGTTCTCCCCTTCTCTGGTTGAGTAAGCTTGAAATAAACGTAGTCCGTGGATGATGCACTGCCATGCAATATGCATCTGCACTGACAATGTCAGCTATAGCTGGATTTCCTCCATAACAGGCCAAATTGAAGGGCTTCCCCACCGTACGCGTAGCTGAAATAGCTGGCAGACCCCAACTTTTCAAGTCGAAATGCTTGCATTACATAGTAAGCTTGCACGTCGTTTATCAAGCCATGGATATGACAATCCATATCCAAGGTGGAGCTCCCGCAAAAGCTGCAGTGGATGAGCAAGCTGTATGGATATGCATCCTCTAGGCGCCGGCCACGCACATTGCACAGCGTCGATGCATCCTAGTGGCTACATATTCATAATCAGAGGGAAATTTGGGTCCATATTATCAATCTAGCTGCATTCGAAATCGCCTCTCATGGCACTGAATCTTCCTAGGTTGGCAAGGTCGACATCGTGAGGTTTTGGGGTGGAGAGGGCTGGTCCTCTTTGGTGATTTGAAAAATGCCACCTAAATGGTAGCAAATGTTGGGTATACAAGCCAGCTATGCCATCTCAAGCTGCACTCCTGTCGGTTGGATCTTGGGTAGGTAGGTGAGTAGGAGGATGGAACGGGGAAGACGAAGAGGCGGCGATGCAAGAGGCAGATGCACATCCCTTAGACATCTCAACCCCTGGTCTTGGCTCCACTCTGGCTTCGACCTCCAGCGTCAACCTTACATCGACAACAACGCCCTTGCTTTTTCTCCTAACAACAACTTGCTATCTCAAGCTTCACCCGGCCTCCTTGTCGGTAGCCTGCAGAAACAGCCTCTAGTCCTTGCCAGGCTGCCGGACTGTCCGGTCTCGTGATTTATTTAGTTCTTCGCCTATTTAACTGCAGGGCAATGGCCTTGTGATTGAAAGAGTGGCTGTTCCCAATGCCTGCTAAGCCTTCTTGGCCCCAAAACGCTGGGTATCGTTGCCCCCCATTACGCTGATATGTCGCAGCCGACGTCGAGGACGATGATGTACGGAGTAGCCCATATGTACGGAGTAGCCCATATAACTAACATAACCGTTCATGTCCGTCACCTAGCTGGATCCGCCAATGCAGCCAACAAGCGTGGTTATCACACATGAGTAACTCACCCTGGGGAACAGTCCGTGCAGCGTTGTTTCAACTCTATACCTTGCATCCCCTTGGTGAGTCAGGCTCTATTATTTCTACGGCTCGACCCGATAATTGGATATCTTTCAGACTCAGGGCCCTACAGTTGGTACTCCGCATCCCATACGTAGCTTGTTTTACCGTAGATGGGAGCAGGGTTGAACTGTACTCCGGTATATTCTCGGATCTGAAGCCATGAGATCCATGACTGGAGAATGTTATTCTCTACAAGAGCTCGTTGCCCATGATTTAAGGATGCTACTTGATTGGTTCTGTGCGCATAAGCACTGCCTTTGGTTGAACCCAAGATACTAGGTGGCAGCCTTCCGAGCCATAATGTACTAATATTCCAAGCTGGGTCTCGTATACCAACATATATCTGATGCATTATGATTGGCCACCACTTCGACAAGCTCTATATCCTACCACGGCCTGGTTTTCTGGATGATTATTTGAAAGATACCCATTATACCTCTAAGCCAACAATGATAATACGGAATATCATGGCGTTCTCTCATGAAATAACTTTAATGTGCAAGGGCTGGCGCATTGCATTGGATACATGTATTGAGTTCTTTACTTGCATATACTTGATGGCGCGTCTCTGCAAGGCCAAAAGATGGTACCTTTATTACTAATGATTTGGGTCTATAATTAGGTGCTGCGTTGTTTAAGCTAGATATGGTTTGAACAGCTGCCTCTCGAGAGCTATGTGGAGGGTAAAAAAAATGGAGAATGCGCGATTCTGCGCGTGCTTCTCTATATGATGAATGCTTTCTCCCAGGCAAAGTAGAAAAGTGCGGCTTTGAATACACAGCTTCTCCATTAATTCTAGTCCATAGACTTCAACCAGACCCGGTATCGCCGCAGATAGGACGAGGATCTCATTGGACCATAGAAACCAACCTGAATTATTCGTGGGAAGCAATGAATTTGTTATTCCTGTTAAGAAACACTAGAGTCGAACCATATTTCGTTTTCAGAGGTCCTGATGTGAGAGATAAAGAAAGTAGGTAGACAAAAGTAAAGGAAAGAAAGATATGTCATTATGCACATGCTGATCCTGGGGCTAAAGGAAAAGACATCCTGTCCCAGCCTCATACACAGAAGTATCCCACGGGCTTTACACCCGCCCACCTACACAGAGATCCTGGACCTACTTTCTCTCGCCGTATGCCTTAGTGGCATACTCTCCCTTGTGGACGATGAGGTCCTCAGGCCTATAATCATGTTTACCAGACAAGTATGATTCAAGGATAGCCTTGGTGCCTTCTGCATATCGAATCTGAGCATCGATAGTTGAGCCAGACATATGAGGCACCATCGCGTTACCACCGCCCCATGGACCCTGGACATATCGCAGTGGGTGGTCCTTTGGAGCTGGCTGAGGGAACCAAACATCACCACCATATCCACGGAGGTGGCCAGACTTGACAGCTTCAGCCACATCTTCTTTGACGACTATAGCGCCACGGGCAGTGTTGATGAGCCAGGATCCTAGAAAGCCGTTAGCATCCAAGGTAAAGGGAAACTACATAGGGTAACGTAAACCCTAGTTGACGACTCACCCTTCTTCATTTTAGAAATCAACTCCTTGTTGAAGAGACCTCGCGTCTTCTCGTGTAGTGGGCAATTGATGGTGACGATATCGCATTGTCCAAGCATCTCCTCAAGATTCTCAACCCGACGGCAACCAATCTCCTTCTCAACCTCTGGTTTTAGTGGTTGGTAGTCGTAGTAGAGCAACTCCTTGCAGTCGAATGGCTTGAGACGACGCAGGACACGCTCTCCAATACGGCCGACAGCGACTGTGCCAACAACCTTGCCCTCGAGGTCGTAAGAGTTCTTAGCAACAGCTGCCACGTCCCATCCTCCACTTGTGACTTGTTGGTGTGCCGGCACGAAGTTACGGACAAGGAGAAGGATGGTCATGACGACGTGTTCCGCTACGGACACGACATTGCAACCAGTCACCTCTGCAACGGTGATGCCGCCGTTGGTCTTGTTGGCGGTATCTAGATCAACGTGGTCTGATCCTACACCGGCAGTGATGGCAAGCTTGAGCTTCTTAGCTTTGGCGAGGCGTTCCTTGGTGAGGTAACCTGGGTGGAAGCTGAAAATTGTAGAATGTTAGCTTGAGATATTTGGTTGACTGTCGCTTTGATAGAGAACCTACGGGGTGGTGATGATAATTTCGGCGTCAACGAGCTCACGATCGAAAACAGAGTTCTCTCCTTCCTTGTCAGAGGTTGTAACCAAGGTGTGGCCATTGTCTTCAAGATACTTCCTCAGGCCGAGCTCGTTCTCCGTCGTCCCGAGCAAGCCAGGCTGGTCTTTGGCATGCTGGCAACCCTGAAGAAGAGTTAGTTATGCTCATGATCAGCAGGAGAGGTCGGGAGAGTCTTACATCATAGAGTACGAGAAGGACCTTGACCTATAATTTGAAGCTGTCAGCACATGAACTCCAGTCAACTGCGATAAAAGCAAGGAGAAGATGTATCTAATGATCTTCCCTTGAAGACAGATACTGAAGTATGAGCTGAACAAGGCACCTACCATTGTGTCTGAGTGGTTGAGTGGTGATTACTGTCTCGAATTGGGTTTTTTAGTGGTGATTATCTGACGGTAGATGTTAGCAAAGGCCCAATCTTGGATGACTTTATGCGAGGATGAACACCCGGTTTGCCATCGAGAGCTATCACCTACCTAGAACAGCTTCTTATGGCCTTTGACCTAGAACAGAGCAAATAACTGTGATGGGAAGCGAAGCAAAAGACAACCATCTACGAGGCGGACGAGGCCGGGTTTATATGGACCTGAGGTCCCTCCCATCGCTCCAGCGGCGTTGCCCCTCTACCACTGCCTGCTCTCTCGTTAACCGTCTCTGCTCGTGCTCGAGTAACACTCTACAATGCTTCTGCGTGCGGGGTCTGCATGATGCCCACCACCATGAAGCAGATTGGGATCCGTACGCCCATCCCACCTTAGCACCTACCTGGTAAGTACCTAGGTACCTGCTAAAAGTACCGAAGAGCTGTATACATGTTCCTTTCCACCTCGCCGGCCCCTGTCGACTTCCATATTTCTTCTTCTTCTTTCACTTTTTGCTGCTGATTGCAATCTATTATTTTTTTGGAGAAGGAGTTTTACCCCTCATCTGCTCGCGTGATGATGATGTAATGAGGGGTAATTTCGTCTTTTCTCCAATTCTACCCCAATTTAAGTTATACAAATGCTGACGTAATAGGGAAAGCAGATGATTGAGAGAAAGAAAGAAGAATGATTGATATTATTGATATGGCTATCGGCTGTTGTTCTGCTATATTAGATCAGAAGATGCTACTTTCAAGACAATATGTGTTTGGACAATGCGCTGTTCTATCTATTTTTATCTCTACTAGGGGTCGAGGACAGGCTGTGTCGGAGAATATCCACTTGAACAACTTAGCGCCAGCGTCAGGGATAGTGGGCTACAACGGTAGTGACAGCACAATACTATCTATCAACGTAACTCTTCAAAATAGCACCTGAATAAAACTGTCGTTTTTCTTTCTCAATTATTCATTTCCCTAGATGGGGCTGGATGACAGATAATCCTAAGATAAGGGGAGGCTGCAAAGTGGGCAATATTGTTAGCATTTTATATGGTCAAATTCTTAGTTCGGGTGATCACTTACTTAGTACCCGGTAGACAAAGAGAAACCGACGGCCATGGCCAGACTCATGGTATATACGTCAAGCATGTTCCTCAACTATGAGTACTCCTACAGGTACAACTATGCTGGTTCTGTTTTCACTTGCGCAATTAACATATATCAAGGGGAGAAAAAAAAATAAATTGGGGTAGCTCTGCTTCCACGTACAATGTGTTAATGGGTGAATCTCTAACCTAACACTGTGGGGGAAGAGAAGATGAATAGCCAGAAGTGACTGTGGTATATCTGCGTGGCAAAAAATGGTGAGTGACCTTTATCAATAGTCACGTCTATAGTTCCTTCTAAGATGCCACCTATATTCAACTGCCTGAGAAATCTTGGGTGCTCTCCGTGACACCACAAGCTTAATATTCCAATATCCATTCTCGGTTCTATAAGCGGCGCTAGAAATGGAGGTATACAGCATGCCATTCTTGTTCTGTTGAAAGTCTGAGAACTTTATAGAGTAAAAGTGATTCACTATATCTCCCTAATTTTTAGCGAGATGTGGATGCCATGATTCTTCTTCACTAACACGAATAAAGATTTCAAATAACTATTACTGAGCTCCATATATTTAGTTGCGGCCAGTTTCGCAGTTAATAGCCCAGGAAACAGGAATGCAGGAGCAGAGCTTTCGAGAGAGGATGTCTGGAAAATTCCAAGAGGAGGCTGGAGAGCTTTATGGGCACTTCTATTAATAATAGCCATAGCTATAGGCTATCTGGGAAGACGTAGCTGTGAATATTAGTCTTCACTGTGAATTTTCAGTCTTCTAGCTTAGATAGCTTTTCGTGTCCTTGGGCAACTAGCAATAAAGCACAATGTGGTTGATAGCTTGGCTTGATAGGAGATTACAGACCACATGAAGCTATAGGATGAAGATAGAACTGTATGTAAGGCAAAAGGAGACAAATAGGGGCTCAGGGATGGTGGTCATACGCCTACAGAAGAGATATCACACCCTTTTATCAGAGAATAAAGGTGAATATAGACTAAGGTTGTTATAATCTTTTGTGCGTTCCGGTTGTGTTGTTGGGCTTATATGGAAGGAACCGAAGGTCCTAGACTAGTAGCCCAGCATTCTCTGAGGAGTCGAGAATTTTCCGGGCAAGAAAAGGTAGGGAAAAAAGCCATTGCAACTAGCTAGACGCGCCAGAGATGAATATGTAGAGTGTCGAGTATATTATACAGCCAGTTTCCAGAGGGTATAAAAGTCCAAGTAAACAAAATCTCTATAATCAAAAGGTCAAAGATAAAAAAGTATCAAGGCTCCAAAGCTCCAAGCTTGATGAAGATCCGAATGTCCACAGCAGAAAGAGAAAGGATAGCGAAAAAGAGCTGAGAAAAAACGATAGAAGTAGGCTGCGTCATATCCGCCTAGTCCCTGGAGTATCTTCCCCATCGCTGTCGGGTATGAAGCCATCCTCCAGTTCCCGGGCGAGCCGTGCCTCTCTTCGCTCCTGGTCAAGGGCCTCCCGCCTCGACTCGCTCAGCTCATAGCCATCTTCACCGTCGTCGTCGAACAAGCTGTCTGAGTCCTGTTCGTGGGCTAGGCTTCTGTGTCTCCATGACGAAGGTAGGGTGATGTTCATGAGGGCGTCGAACGTCCTGTCTCTCAGCGAGGTCGTATGCACTGATATTGTATGCAAGGGGAGGTACTGGGAGTATCGCTGCCGGTGCAGCCGGATGAAGGGGGTTATGACGAAGGATATGGTCAGGTAGAGAACTAGGGATATCAGCGCCGGAATGAACAGTGTCTATAGTAGCTGAGTGTTAGCCAAGTAGTCAACTCGCGGGAGCAGGAAGAGGGAGGGGGATTGGTGCCAGTAGCTGACCTTGATGACACCGGTAGCTCCTCCCATCGTTGCCAGCAAGAGCTACCAGCGGGTCATCTACAGGGCCGTCGTCTCTTCTCACGCTGTCTGCCCTCCTGCCCGTTGCTTCTGCCTTGTTCTTCTTCTTCTTCTCTGCTTCTGCCTCGCCGTCTCGTCATCTGCCATCCTCTCGATGGCTTGCATGAGGCTTGCGCAGTGCCTCGACCACGTGACCATCTAGCCGCTTCTGGATGCGCCTCTTTTTGTCGCTTCGTCACTTTTGCCGCTCCGTCGACTTTTCTTCCCCCTGAACGGCTTTCACGGCGCTTGTGAAAGATACAGACGCTGGATCCGTGACTGTCAAACACCGCGCGATGGAATTAGAGCACCGGAGCCCGCATCACATAGCAATTTGGAGCCTGCTGACCCTGTTTTCCTGCGCCGCCCTGACCGTCGAGACAGCCGAGCCAGAGCTGCAGGCTTAACACACCCAGCTATTTACGTCGCTATCCACATGAAAGAGGATGACCGGCCGCATCTGGAGGAGGACACAGTGATCGCCTAGCCCGTCATCCCGTCACTGCAGACCGCGCGAGAGAGACAGAAAAAAAACCTGTCTTCGTCTTTCCCATGCGTTGCCTGAACGCTCTCAGGTGCATAGTTCAGAAAGCCACTCGAAGAAATAACTACAAAATAACTAGCTAGTTAACTACTCTAAATAACCGACCGATTTCACTCCCTTTCCCTCGTTCGCTCTTATAGAAAATTACCAGCACGACCGATCGATCCCCCCCGATTTGTTTCTATTTCCCCTTACCACCAGATACTTGGGCAGGCCGGTAGGCTGTGGCCAACTTTATGGTTTGCCGGAGACGCCGTCATGACATCAGATAAACCGTCGAAATCTTTTTTCGGAAGGAAACTACACAAGGAACGCCAGCCTGATCTGCGCGCTGAGACGCCGGAATCGTTTGGTGCGGCCAGCAGTGGATCGGGATCGCGCTCATCGAGATATTCGAAACGAGAGTCCGGCCTATCTGTCGATTTAACCGGCGATACGGAATATCTCTCAGGTGTGATAGGATCCGTCCCGTATGACAGCGTGCCTGTGCGAAAGGAGCCAACCCCTTCCAAAATGGGTAAACCAAACGACTACCACCAGTATCCCCAGTTTCAGGGGTATCAGCCTGCGAACGGCGCAATACACCTGTCTGGACCCCGGCCCCCGCCAGGATTCTCAGGCACCACCGCCTCATACTACTCTCAAAGCGACAAGGGGGTGAAATACCAAGCGTGGAACGGCCACATCGCCTACCCAGCCGCAGAAACCTCCAACCCTCGAACCTCCATGGACCAGAACAGCATCTACTCCGCGGTCTCGTCCGCTCCTCGTGGCTCGACTCATACTATCAGCACAGACAATGCGTCCCGTTACAACTACTCCACACATCCTCAAGATCCCCGGAATCAGCCGCCCAGCTCCTCAGGAAGCCGTCCTTCTACCTCGTCACGATCTGACTGGCTTCCTCCTCAGCTACCCATTGTGTTTGGTACTTTGCCAATCTCGGCGGATGGAACGATCCAGAGACCTAAGGATGACGCCGTCGTGGACCAGATGTTCTATGAGCTCATGATCAAACGAGGGTGGCAGAATCTACCCGAACAGGCTAAGAGACAGATGTTGGCCTACCCGACGTCGAAAAAATGGACGTTGGTTCATCAAGATCGCCTGACGCAGTGGCAAGGGGAGCAAAAGCGGCGCCAACAGAATAGGCAAACTGGCTCTGGAGATGGAGGCAAGGGTCTCCTCGGACGAGCCGATGAAGAAGGCAGTCCTGAGTGGTATGTTAAGAAGGTCATGGATGACTCCATCACAGCAAAGGAGTTGGGGAGTCTAAGCGTAAGCTTACGAACACAACCGATAAGGTAAATCCATCACACTAGATGAAGAGCCTTGAAAACACATCAATCCCTATGCTAACAAATATGTTCAAATAGTTGGGTGAAATCGTTTGTTGAAGCTCAAGGGCAGATTGCTTTGACAAGCGTACTACTGAAGATAAACAGAAGAAAAGCTTCAGGACCAGTTCCTGTGACCAATTCAGGAGGAGATAAGGATTTGGATCGCGAGTACGATATTGCAAAATGTTTGAAGGCATTGATGAACAACAAATATGGTGCCGACGATGCGCTTGCCCATCAGCAAATTATCGTGGCCCTCGCAAGTTCTCTTATATCCCCAAGGTTGACAACAAGAAAGTTGGTCAGCGAAATCTTGACCTTCCTCTGCGACTGGGCCCATGGTCAGGGGCATCAAAAGGTCCTTCAAGCAATGGATCAGGTTAAGAATATGCAAGGCGAGACTGGCCGATTTGATGCCTGGATGCGAGTAGTGGAAGTCAGCATTGACGGACGAGGCAAAATGGGCAGTCTTGTCGGCGCAAGTGAAGAGTTCAGGAGCGGCGGCATAGGAATGGAGAACCTCCTCATGGAGTATGCTCTAGCAACCATGTTTTTGATCAACATGTTTGTCGACGCTTCAGAAGATGACTTGCAACTGCGATGTCATATCAGAGCACAGTTCACCGCTTGCGGTATCAAACGACTACTTGCTAAGATGGAAGGATTCCAGTATGAGGCCATTGACAGACAAGTGGAACGGTATAAGGAGAATGAAGGGATCGACTACGAAGATCTGCTCCAACGAGAAAGCAGTAGCATGAAAGATAGCATTGAAGGGGAGGTCAGTGATATGAACGACCCCATTCAAATTACCAATGCTATCATTAGTAGGCTACGGGGAGGTCGTTCCCAGGACTTCTTCATTTCAGCCATGCAACACATGCTTCTTATCAGGGAGAACTCCGGTGAAGATAGCCACCGAATGTTCCAATTAGTTGATGCAATGCTCAGCTATGTCGCCATGGACAGAAGGCTTCCAGATATGGACCTGAAGCAGAGTCTCAATTTTACAGTCCAGAGCCTCCTAGACAAGCTACATACCGACGCTGAAGCAAGAAGGGCGTTCGACGAGTCCCTGGAAGCTCGCCAGATTGCAGAAGCTGCAATTGCCGAACGAGATGAGATGAAAGCTCGAATAGAAATGGGCGCAGATGGCCTAGTCAAGAAGCTGCAGAAGCAAATTGAGGAACAGGAAGCAGTAATCAGTCTCCAAACCCGGCAAAATGAGTCTTTGAAAAGTGAATTGGCCGAAATCCAAAGGATTCGAGGACAAGAGCTTCAGAGGAACGAACTTGAAACTCGGGAGCTCTACCTCATGCTTCGAGATGCACAGGATGTTGCAGCATCGAAGTCTAAGATGGCTGGTAATGGAGGTGATATGAGCATAATGGATCCTACCCAGATGAATGGTATTCTTGACCGAGAGAAACTTATGAGCCGCCTTGAACGGCAGCTTGATCGAGCAAAGACCCAGTTCAAATTGGAAGGAAAAGTTTGGCCTCAGAATGGTCCATCAGACAGGCTTCGAGAATTGCGCGAACTGATGGAGGGAGACTTCTTTCATGAACCCGAAATTGATGAGGAAACCAAGCGCAACTTCACTCATAGCACCTTTGGTACTGTTTCGAGGAAGCGTAGCCAGGCCCTTAAAGCTAACGCTTCTAATGACCAGGATAGCAGGGATGAAGAGCTTGATGATCTAGAGGAAGAGGGCGAGGAGGCTGTATTCGAGAAGGGCCGGTTGGTAGAGATCAGAAGACCAAAACTCGACCCTGAGCGTGCCACAGCACTTCTGGGTGAAATTGCTTCCAAAGCTGGAGAAAGAGAAAAGGAGAAAGAAAAGGAAGAGCAAGAAAAGACATCGACACCTCCTGCCGAAGGTCCCGAGAATAAAGAGACAAAAGATGCTGAACCCGATAAGCTTGCTGGCTTTAATGGCCCTCCACCACCACCACCGCCTCCTCTCCCTGGCTTCGGAGGGGGGGCACCGCCGCCACCACCTCCTCCCATGCCCGGCTTCGCTGGTGGTGCTCCTCCACCGCCTCCTCCTCCCATGCCCGGCTTTGGAAATGGTGCACCACCCCCTCCTCCTCCCATGCCAGGAGTTGGAATGCCGCCTCCACCGCCTCCAATGCCTGGCGGTTGGAAGAAAACTTACCTTCCCGCTGGGCAAGTTTCTTCAGTACCTACGGTTAGCTTACCATTTATACGCCCCAAGAAGAAGCTCAAGGCACTTCATTGGGACAAAGTTGATACCCCTCAAGTAACCGTCTGGGCTGCTCATGCACCTACACATGAGGCCAAGGAGCAGAAATACACTGATCTTGCAAAGAAGGGAGTTCTCGATGAAGTCGAGAGATTGTTCATGGCCAAGGAAACGAAAGTACTGGCTCGTTCTGGGAAGAAGACTGATAAGAAACAGATCATCAGTAGTGAATTGGTCCGCCAATTTGAAATTGCGTTCGCCAAGTTTTCTCAAATCTCCGCAGACGAGCTCGTTCGCAAGATCATTCATTGTGATACCGAAATATTGAATAATACGGTTGTCATGGAATTCTTACAGAAGGACGAGCTGTGCAATATTCCTGAAAATACATCAAAGTTGATGGCTCCTATAGCAGGATTGGACCGGGGCCCGGAGCTGCTACAACTGAGCGAGAGCAGGACCCTTCAGAGCTTACTCGCCAGGATCAAATTTATCTCCAGACTGCCTTTGAGTTGAACCATTATTGGAAATCAAGAATGCGTGCACTTAACTTGACTCTCTCTTTTGAGCAAGAATACGATCATATATCCTCCAGCCTACGGGAGATAGGACAAGTTTGCGAGTCGTTACGTGACTCCGTCTCTTTGATGAACGTGCTTGGACTCATTCTTGATATTGGTAACTTCATGAATGATTCTAATAAACAGGCCGCTGGCTTCAAACTCAGCTCTCTGGCCCGTCTTGGTATGGTCAAAGATGACAAGAATGAGTCCACTTTTGCAGACCTGGTTGAACGTATTGTTCGAAATCAATATCCAGAGTGGGAAGGGTTCACCGACGATATTGATGGCGTAATACGAGTCCAGAAGGCAAATGTCGATCAGCTCCAGCTTGATGCAAAGAAATATATTGATAACATTAAGAACGTGCAAATGAGTTTGGATTCTGGCAACCTGAGCGACCCAAAGAAGTTCCACCCTCAAGATAGGGTAAACCTGATCGTGCAAAGATGCATGAAAGACGCCAGGAGAAAGGCGGAGCAGCTGCAGCTTTACCTTGATGAAACAAGCCAGACATATGATGATATTATGGTGTTTTACGGTGAAGACCATACAGATGAAAATTCAAGACGGGAATTCTTTCCCAAACTTGCGACCTTCTTGCAGGAGTGGCGCGTAAGTTCATTCAATCCTTTTTCTTTTTTTAACCCTAATTACCCAACGTGTATATTGACTTTATAAAATTTTATAGAAATCCAAGGAGAAAAACATCTCTTGGGAAGAAAATAGGCGGCGCACAGAAGCCTCCCTTGCTCGCAAGAGGGCCAAACCAGGTCTTACAAACGGTATAGATTCTGGTACACCGACTTCGCCCACATCAAATGGTGCAATGGATTCACTGCTGGAGAAGTTGCGTGCCGCTGCTCCCCAGGCTAGAGATCAGCGTGACAGAAGACGTCGCGCAAGATTGAAGGAGAGGCATCAAGTACGACTTGCTTCTGGACAACATGTACCCGGTATAACGGTGAACGATGGCCAGGATAGCGAGAGCACTACGACCGCGGAACCAGCCGCAACCCCCAAAGATGATACCCCACAAAATTCGCAACCCAAGGGCGAGGACATCGCGGATCGCGCTGCCAGCATGTTACAGGGACTCAGGAGTGATAATGACTCTGAGGGCAGCCGTTCTAGGCGACGAAATAGCGCTGAAGAAGCCCGGAGAAGCAGGCGAATGCGACGACGTGCCCCAGCAACAACATCGACTTTCACTAATAAAGAACCCAATGATGGCCCTTCACTACTCTCAGCACACCCTGAATCTGAAGGTGGAAGCAGACGAGACTCTTCAGGGAGCACTGCATCCGCGTTTTTGGGCGAAACGACCAATGAACCCGAAGCTTCACCGCGGCCTTTACCAGCAACCCCCGGTGGCACAGATTCCAACCCTATCACGATATCCGACTAAACATATAGAGGTTATGCATCTGAACTTCTTTTTTTATCTTTTCCTATTATTCAACACCTCCCCGCTGAATTTAGCGCGCTCTATTCCCCCTTATTATCCGTTACCAACCTCTTGATATGCATTCTTTACAGAAGCATCACCGCCATCGCAATCTCCCATTTCGATATCCATTTCACTATATACACCATTTCACTCATGTTAGAACTCGTTTCCTTCTACTTCCTCACCTTCCCCTTTTAACCATGATCCAATGCATGAGATTTGTCTTCTTTCCGTCCTTGCCTTTTACCCTCGTGCATTTGGTACCCGTGTTACAGGATTTTATGTCTGGCTAATTTCCTTCTGTTGGACTTGGGTCGGATCTCCTTTTTATGTTGCAGCCTCGTCTCATTCCCCCTTACCTTCTTCGCCAACTGTATCTCCTTTTCTAATTTCCTTGATGAGATGTGTTAGTTAACATTATCGAGCGGTTGGACCTCTCGCAAATTTCTAATACTATCACTAGAATCTTCTAGTTTTCTCCTCCCTCTAGTTTTTGAGCTCTTCTTGGTGCTTCACAATCCCAGCCCCCTGGCATACTTACCTCCTGCACTCATAGCACTGTGATCTCGTTGACAACAGTGACTTTATACCCAGCTGAGTGAGACACGTCAACACGGGAGCCCCCAAGCCCATAAGGGTTGGAGGAAAGCGACAGGATTACCTGCGACTGCCAGCCCTGTCGCGCGATCGTACAAATAACAATATACAGAACGGGCTCCCATCTATATAAGATATCCACTCCTAGCTCTCCCTGGTCCAGGATGCTTTGGCAAAGTGGAGTCCTACGAAGAATACTCCCGCGGGCTTTGAACATAATGCATCCAAGCATCCTGGCCGTACTATGGCTGTTTCTTCCCGTGCTCTGTCTCAGCGCGAGAAACGCAACGGGCCTGCCTGTCCCTAAGTCCAGACTCGCAAGCGTAATCAAGGACCGTACCCCCCAGCAAACACAAACCCTAGTTACAGCGATAGAAAGCGCTCGCCTGGCTGTTGGTCCTACTTTTCCTCCGATAGATTTCATGATTCGACTGACAAGACTTGCCTAACGCCTCCTGAACAGCTCGCCGCCACAGCCTTTCGGTTGCGAGTTCTTATTGACTTCCTCGAGAGGCCTCCTAAGCGAGGAGACCGGATCACTAGAGATGAAAAGGTGGTTTTGCGCACCTTCGAGACCGTCTTTGGCCAGGTCTGGTGGGCGCCGACGAACGATGAAGCCTAAATGCAAAACAAGCAGGCAACCATTCGTGTGAAGAATTTTGCCTGTAAGAAACAAGGACTGGGTCTCCCTGCCGGCTATGCCTTCTTTGCTGTCGCCCCCTTCGGCGTTGGAAGTTGCTTGCTGATATTGCCTACCTTTAGACATCGCGGCGGCGGTGTCCAGGAGACTATCACTACAAGACACCACCCGCCATGAAATTTGGTGCGGCGAGAGAGCCATGCTGCGCGACCGTTCAAGATTTCCACAGCCGCTTCCACTGGATATTCGTATGTTTCTTTCGACGACACTTTTATAGCTGGTTCCTGGCGGTGCGGCATATCTCCCGACTCTTACTACTCCAACTGACAGATCCTAGCGAAGATGTTACGTTTGATAACCGTCCTATAGAGGACTTTGGTCAGAGATTCATCTTAGGCGACGGCTGCTCAGACCAAGTCACTGCCTATACATACTGCGCTCCCTCGATTAACGCGTTCATGGTAATCACTATAATATGCCCGTTAATGTGGATAAAGTGTAGGCACCAGAGGTGTTCCCAACCGCTGCAGATGTGTCGTGACAAAACATTCTTTACAGGCAGTTCTCTAGACAAGCTGTTTCTTGACAGTACCTTCGCTTCCTCATTCTTCATGAGATGTCTCATGCGCGAGTCATTCATCCTGGCACTGGAGGAGATCGTGATGGAACAGGTGAGGAGACATAGCTTTCAATGAAGCCTCCTAAACGCCCGCAAAGGATAACTTACATCGCTTTGACGGATGATTACGCTTACGGTTGGGATAAATCGATACGGCTCCCGGTACGCGAGAGATGGAAGAATGCAGGTAAGCCATCCATATACCTGCCTATTTCTTTCTATCTGCGCTTCAGAGGTTGTGGTTCTTCTCTGACTTGCGTTCCTTCACACCAATATAGATAACTTTGCAATATTTGTACTTTGTAAACGCAACCCCGTATCCAACATAAAACATCTACCCCGTGCTAACAGGACATCTCTAGCAATGTATCTACACAAAAATGACTGGTCCACCGGGCCAGCCAAACCCGTTCCGCCCGACGGTGGCTTGGGAGACCCTGACGGTGTCTAGTGGGAAGATTGAAAGACGAACGGGCAAAATGAAGAGTTGTCAAGGGAGGCTGAACAGTACGAGTAAGATATTGAAAATGATTCTATATCCGACTAAATCAATGTACTCTCCTTTCCCAATGGTTTATTTTCCTCATGATCGGCTGGCACGGCATGATAGAATTGATCCGGGCCTTTTCTCTAGCATCCATCAGGAATGATATGACTGCATAGGGCTGAAGGTCTCACCAGCTCCATTTCCTAGCGGTATCTCAGACACTTCTTAGCCGATTATTTCGTCACTTAATACCATGGGTAAGTTAACCAGTTACCCGGTTATATAGTTAGTGATCATTCGGGGATCGGAGATGGACAGCAGGATTGACACCTGAGTCACTGTCTTCCACCAAACATAGCTAAGGCAGGCAGCCTGCTCGTCAGGGTTATGCCTTGGGAAACACAGCTGAGCAAGGTTACATTGTGGCGTCAGGCAAGGAATAACTTCCCTGTCATACATTCATGCCTGCATAAAGACGTAGAATCAAACCCTTAGTAGTTATCAGTTACCAGCCCCATTGCCCACTTCAGCCCTAAAACGACACTCAGGCTGCTCCCCCAGCCATCAACTAGCCACACAAGGCTCAAGATGGTGCTAATCGTTATTGGCCATGACGAGTCAATCCCAGATAATATCCTAAACACACTGGAACACTCGTGGCCTCTCCTCAAACTCACTGATCCGCGCTCCTCCTCGTGGCATGCCAGGGGTGGGAAGAAGACGGACCCGGTCAGGTTGAATACCCGCTTCCATCTCAGCTGTCTGCTGCGGCTCGAGGCCTCCATTTCCAAGCCCTCTAACCGATGATCGTGTGTTTCGAAATATATTATTAATATCGACGAATTCATGTCTGAATGGACGGTCATAATCAGACCCTGCATGTCATTCCATCTCTTGATTATCCCGACTCCAGTGCCTTCGGCCAGGCGCCATGTGTTTCCATGGATCAACAGACGAACACACAAAGATGGATTTCCTGCACAAGCAGCCTCCTTCCTTTGCCGTCTCGTTATTCATTGTAACCTGACCCGCTTCTCTGTGTCTGCATAGGACAGGTGGCTAAATATAGGAGCTGTACGGACTTTTCAACCGAGACGGTATATTGACTCTCTGATAATGTCAATAATTAACCATCGTTTATCGCCGTTGACGTTGTTAATGTCTGCAAATCTGCAATGTAATTGCAAACGTATAATATCCCTTTTTTTTTTCGGATAGATTTGGATAAAAAAAAAGGGTGAGAAAGAGGAGGCTATGCGCAGCCTGTACGCAGCGGCGGACAGCTTGGTTCCTTGCATTCTCACCCTCCCTTTCTCTCACCCTGCAGTGCTGCAAGTCTGGTTGAAGGTAACAAGCAGCATATTTCTTTACTTATGTGCTCCCATTACATACCTTTTGCTCCCGCCCGTCCTTGCAGGAGCAAAGGGGCGGTTGGTTCCCTTTCGAGACAAAAAGGAATGAGGGATCTTCCGGTAGGATGTTTCCAGTGTAACGGTGTCTGAACCCAATCTTCCTTTGCATTCGTTTCTTTTTCTCCTTTTTTTTTTTTTTTTTTTTTTTTTATTCGCCTGGATAGTTCAGTTATTTTAGGCATCATGCGTGGTCAATCGTAGTGGCCATAATCTCGGGTCAGCAGATCTGATAGCGGCCCTGCGGTCATAGCGAGGCCAACATACGTTATACGGAACATTATATCCGCATACCTTATACATCGAACGCTTGGATGTAAGTATGCGTTCCTGGACAGGGCATCCGTAAAAGGAACCCGACATAATTCGCAATATCTGTGTCATCCAAAACGGCGAGACGTCTGTCCGCGCTCGATTCCGTGCGACAGTCCAGGCTGCAGAAGAGAGCAGAAAACTCGGAGAAAGGGCCGAATCAAGTAACTGGTGCTGGGTCGACCATTTTCCAGCGCTTTTCTCCTGTATAACTAACAATCAGACAGCCATCTTGGAGGGGGGCCGGTCGTTGTAAGAGGGCCAAAAATATAGAGATTGCGTGCAACCACCGTAGAGGGCTATCATGACACCTTGTACTCCATGTCCAGCAAGCCTTCTGATTTCACGCTGTCTAGCGATTCGATGGGACCCCTTTTCCTTCTCAAAAACACGTTTATTGGTTATTCATGCTGTTGCTCTTGTGTTATGCTGTGTTGATATGCCGGGGATCGCTTGCAGGGGATGAGAAATCTAAATTTATCTCCCGCTGTAAGTAACGTACGGACAACGGCCATCCCAACCTGCACGTAGTCTCCTGCGATACTCTGATTAGTCATCGAAGGCCGCTACTCTTCCCATTTTCAGCCATGTCGTCTGGACCGTCTCACGCCCGATGTCATAATGAGCAATAGCTAGTTATCAGAGTCATCACCACCATCACAATAACCGGCTCCTTTCCGACACAGCCGCTGTAAGAAAAGCCTCCTGCACAGAGTAGTGATGTTGATTAGCTGGCTGGCCGTCTTTTCCTCCGACCTAGCAGTGAGTCAGTCGGTGCCCGTCAAGGCTGGTTAAGGCTGCTGAATGGCCAGGATCGAGTACGAGGTTGACGTGATGCTCGCTCATCCTGCCCCGGCAAGGCCTGCGAGGCCTGCATGGCCCGCCAGGGGTCCAGTCCACGGCCACCATCGATCACTTCCAGGCCTGAGGGGGGCCGCCCTAAGGGAGCCCACGTTACGCCGAGCAGCTGGCATTGCCCTGCAATATGGGGCTCGAAGGAAGGCCGGGTCCCTTGTTCAACTCGTTAGCAGCAGCGTTAACTCGCTACCAGCTCAGAAGCAGAAGAGAAAGGGCAAAAAGAAACAGAACGAATAAGAGACGAGAAGAGAGGGTCTGTCTTCCCTTTGACTTGCTTTTTTGCAGGTCTAAGCCTTGCTGCCCTTGCTGACACTGACGGTTCTCTGCCTTAGCCAGTTATCGACCGGCCGCTGACTTCTGCCTGGCGTTGTTTTCGTCTCATCCTTTGGCCCTTTCACACAGTGTGCCATTAGCTAACTAGCTGGCGAGCGTGGGAATCCCCCCGAAGCATGCAGAAGGTTGCAAAAAAGAAAGCAGCCGAGCGAGGTAGAACCAGCAGAAGCGCAGAGAAGCTGATTCATAATTCTCCCGAAACTGCAAAAATAGCAAAAGGGAGACAGGCAGAGGCTGATGGATGCTGGCGGAACCGTGAGTGACTGCGTCCATCAACCATAAAATGGGATACAAAGAGAAAATGTTGAAGATATATAAAACGCCTCTCTTTTCGCCTTCTTTCTTTCTGCTTTTTTTCCCTTTTCCTCTTATCTTCATTGTCTATCCAGCATAAGCAAGCATATTCACATTCATCCTATTATCATACATATATATCTTTATTATAATATCTTTTCAGCGTACTTCCCGGCGTTTCATAACCCAGTGGCTGCATTTCTCCTTTGAAACGGACCTCAAGTGAACCGTCTTGTTGCTTTCAGACCATCTAGCTACGCCCTAGACCTCAAGGATATAAATAATTGACTCGTTCATACTGGTCTCCTCTTCCTGGTCTCTCTGGATCGTCGCTTGATATACAAATCTCGACTAAGCAAAATATCTGAACACCCTGTTCGTCTATATATCTTCCAACACACAGCAAGCCTAGACTCTCCAAGCGCAAACATTTCACCGTCAAACATTCCGCCAACTTCAGGCTTCACCACTCAAGCAACAATGGGTCGAGGCGGTTACAACAGCCCAAGACGACAATTAGTCAACCAACAAGGCAGAGGCGGCTATAATAGCCCCCATGATGGAGATGGTGACGATGAATCCTAAAATGGGGAGGAGAGGGGGGCTTTCTCCCAAGAACAATATCCCCTTATTCTTCTTGCAAGATAAAGGATTGATTGATGCCGGCCATGAATCTAGCGACTTTAATCCAACTGGGAATCATTTCTTCTTTCTCCTCTTTGGGCTTTCTTTTCATGGATTCGGCGGGTATGCAGGGGCGCAAAACTGCCTATGAGTAATGACTGGGTCTTTGAGCTCATTTGCCAACACAGAATCTGCATCCGGGACTTGCATTAGTATCAAGGAGAACTTTTTTTTTTTAATTTTGCATTACACGGACGACGACAACGACGGCCACTTACTTTTCAAAGACAACTCCCAGCACACTCTCGACATCACCACCTTCACCACGACCAGTGATCTTTGCAAGGGATTCGGCCGCAAACCGCAGGTGTTCCGCGGCCATCACGATGTCGACGTCCTTCTCCACTTGTTTTATTATCGTGTTGTTTTTAATACTGTCGATGGCATTATCAGGCGTTATAGAACCCTCATTGATTTGGGATAGAAAGTCGTTTAGGTGCTGGGCACATATTTGTAGATTAGAGCTTTGTCGATGCGTTACCCCTAATGAATCTTCCCAATAAGATTTATCAAATTGTTGACCTATTTGTTTTTCATCCGAATGTATGCCTTCAGGTGTAGATATCTCCTCAAATGTGCGTATTAGGCCCTTAAGAAGTGGTTGGATGCCTCCTGGATCCTGGCCAGTGGAGTTTTGAGCCTCTTGACAGGATATCGGAAATATCAGGTCTGGGTCTAGGCCCCCAAAGGTTGCAGACACCTGAGCTTTATAGTTAAGCATGTCATGATGTCCCGGCTCCGAGGAGAGCATATCCGTTTTGTTGATGGCCACTAGGACTTTTTTGTCAAGCTCGAGGCAGCTGTGGACAGCGCTAACAACTTCTGGCTCTAAACTCAATCCTTGTTCTCTCGATCCTTCAACAGAGAGCACGACTACCACTACATCAGACTCAAGAGCCCGAGCTTTGGCACGGCGTATCCCTTCTTCCTCAATCTTGCCGACTGTCGAAACCACATGACCCTGGGCGGCAATTTGGCTTTGCGATAGCTTGGATCGTAGTCCTGCCATATCGCCAAATTTACACAGCCAACCCCCAAGGTCTATACCGACATCAACAATATCTCTTGTGGTTCCTGCTTCGCTGCTTACAATAGCAGCATCGCGTCCAACGATCTGATTCAGTAATGAGCTTTTTCCGGCATTTGGTGCTCCCAGGAGTGCGACCTTAATACCACTCCTGAGAAGCTCACCCTTTGATGCGTTCTTGATGTGTAAATTTATCTGATGCAGAAGACTGTCAACTTGACCGGTAACAGAAGATATAAAATCGTCCACCGATTCGTCGAAATGTTGGTCTTCAGAAAAATCTATTAGAGCTTCCAGTTCCCCTCGAGCATACAAAAGCTGTTTTCTCCACTGCTCATACCGCGTAGACAAAATATCATTTGTACCTCGAATGGCAAGTCGGCGCTGTTGCTCTGTATCCGCTGCTAGTGTATTACCGAGAGCTTCAATCTGCGGTAAGTCGAGGCGGTCATTAAGGAACGCTCTGCGGGTGAACTCTCCTGGCTCGGCGTAGCGAATAGACGCTGATGGAGCATCTACAGGGCTTGCACATTTTGAAATCGCACCGAGAATAGACTTGATTACCGCAGGGCCGCCATGGACGTGCAGTTCGAGCACATCCTCTCCTGTGACTGTGTTGGGTGCTGGAAAATGGAAGACAAGTGCGCCTGAGTCTAAAACATTATCGGCCGATACTGGTTTGCCGGGTTCATATATTGTACGAAGAGCTGCAAAACGAGGTTTTGGGAGTTTTCTGTTCGGACAGAGAGCTTTGTATATCTAAAACTCCACTATCATTAGATTTACTCAGTTCGACGGAAGATATCATTAACAGAAGAATATTTACATACTGGAATGCAATATGGCCCCGAAATACGAATGATGGCTATAGCAGCTCTGCCAGGGGCAGTGGAGAGCGCATATATGGTGGTTGACTTCTCATCCTGAAAAAATGATGCCCATCTCCTTTGGGGACTAACATGGATGGGTGGTTTGAAAGCTGGTAGAATAAGCGATTGGGTTTGAACTGAATGATTCCATGGCTGAATACGGCTCCAGGCCATATAAATGAGCCGCACTCCGCAGCGGCTCCGAATTGATATCTTCCACATACAAGAAGAGGCTGATAAAAGATAGTGTTGATAGCTGTTGGTCGAGCTGGTGAGCTTTCTGTCGTTGCTGTCGATTTTGAGTTTATATGTCACGTGATGGCAGATGCGGCTCTTCGCGAAGCTGATATCAAAAAAAAAAAAAAAAAAGAAAGAAAGAAAGAAAGAAAGAAAGAAAGAGGAAAGAAAAGATACCAAGGTCACTAACTTAAGAGTTCATCAAAGACCCAATCTACCAAAGACAAATCATTTGAACCCGTTAACCGATACAGCTACATAGGTCGTACTCGAAACTACTCTGCACGAACACAAAATGCCCTCAAAAGTCCCAGAGGACGAATCCATGGTCGATGCGCAACCACTTGAAGACCAAGAAGTTGATGTAGAGCAGCAAGAAGATGTTGAGGATGAAGAGGACGAAGAAGATGAATATATAGCCAATGATCAGCAAAGAATAACCATTGTGAGTTTTCCAACCTTTTCCTTGCGTGGCAGGTGCATTACTTGTCGAGGGATACAATATTTATCAACCACACTTCTTTGAAATAGCTTCCTGGCGCCGTTGAGACAGCTGCCTCGTTCCAGTTCGAAGGCGAAGATCATACTCTTGGGAATGCGCTACGATACGTCATTATGAAAAAGTAAGATAGGAACCATATACCTGCTATGGTGTTTGCTGCGGGGATGCAACAAAATACAGGTCGAGGCTACCCGCTAATATATTTCCGATAGTCCCGACGTTGAATTTTGCGGATACACGATGCCCCATCCTTCAGAAGCTAAGATGAACTTGAGAATCCAGACTTATGGTGAGTCTTGCGTCTTCCTACGTTTTGCTATAGTTCCTGACACATTGAGCTACTTGTATCTACGTACCTAACTTCTTCCTAGACTCGACCAATGTATTCACAGTTCTAGAGAAGGGACTTAGCGACTTGATGGATCTATGTGATGTTGTTACAGAAAAGTTTACCTTTTCAAGGGATGCCTTCGAAGCTAGCAAGATGCAGCAATGATGCGGAAAATTATATAAATGTGAAGGATTCATTAGGATGGCATGGTTGTATCATTTAATACCAGTTTAGGCGCAAGGGTACTTTGGAACTGCATTAGAGGGTTTATTCAAGTATTTTTTTTTGACCTTTGTTGTCTTTCGGTAGTCTCAATACTCTAGTTGAGAAAACTGCGTAAAGAAAGTATAAGGAATATCAAGACAGTGCTAGGATATATACATTTCACCACCTTCATAGCAAAGCCCCACCTCACAATAGTACAAGTTGAGAAGTGTAGTTGTTTAATTTCGTCCCTATATTAATATTAGTCTAGTGACCTACTTTGAGTGAGACGGAAGGAAGATATGCCCAAACAACATACCTCCATGAAACCAGACATGAAGTTCTTAGGTAGTTTGGCTGATGGGTCTTCCTCAGCTCTGAAATATTTCATCAATTGGGACAACTGTTTCCAATAGTTCATGGTTTCCTAAAACACACACCAGGTCAGCATTCTAAACAGAAGAATGAATCAATGGATAGATCGGGACATGTAGCCCGAAGGGAATTTCCAGTTGGAATAATGGACTATTCTGGGAAAATCGTAGGCGTATATTCGTACCTGGAACTCGCTGTGGCTTTGGAATAGAAGAACATCGACGACTGGCAGCTGGTTTACATATCGGTGTCGCTCAAATTCTTGTCTGATCTTGGTTCGGATGGCGGAGACGGGAAGTTGAAGAGAGTACATAGTTTGGATCTCAGGAGACTGTACAAGCCATGAATGGATACCATTAGCATTTATTCTGTCATCAATGTATGGATTATCAATCATCACCGAGAAGGGCACCTTGCAGCCCTGTCTGTCAAGCATGCTGCGGAACCAACATCGAATGGATAGAGGAGCCAAGTATAACGCAAGCAAAGGGAGACTAACCGCGCGAAGCCATGCTCGGTATGATCTAAGTACTCTTCTCTGCGCATCTTTCCAATTGACGGCTACGAGTTTCCGGGGAGCGGTTAGTGAGTGTCCACAAAAGCGAGAGATTGGCCACTGGCAATAGGCTGAAACCTACAAGATCGCGTCCGCTGGGCCAAATAGGTTGGATTTAACACCATGGTGGGCTGCAGCTATGAAATATTTTGCTATAAACACAGCTGTGAGAGAGAAACGAAAGTCGGCTTGACGTTGCGGTTGTTTCTGGCTCGTTCAACTCACGATCGCCGACAAACCTTGGCGTCTATGCTGACTAAATTAAATACTTACTGGCAATGATAGATTGCGTCGCTATGACAGCAACGCAGCGAAAATTGCACCGCCGGTGATCTCAATCGGTCTAGCAGCTCATATAAAGTACATTTCTTGTTATAATGCTTTTTCAAGTCTCACTCTGTCAAGCTGCTTGAAGTTGTCTTTCATTTCGTTGCTTAAACCTGAGATCTTGGCGTTCATGAACTCTAATTGTGAATTCTTCGATATATCCGTACGGAGTACCTAATTTTTTTTTTTTTTTTTTTTTTTTACTGATATCAAATCAGGAGAACAGGCGCATTCTCGATCAGGACATAACGACGCCATAACGCAAACGATTATTATGGCGCCAACAAAGCCGGCTGGCCCGTCGAAAGGGTCAAAGAGCAAGTCCTCAAAATCGAAGTCTACTTCGGCCGGAAAGTCCTCCACAAATCGAGTATCTAAATCGAAGTCCAGCAAAAAATTAGGCGCAAAGCCCAAACCAACGGAGGTCAAAGCGAAGTCACGCTCAGCGCCAGAAATGTTGAAAAAGAAGAAGAAAAGAGTGTATACTGAGAAAGAATTGAATTTGCCCACGCTGAACAAAATCACACCTGTTGGTGTGCAAAAACCGCGAGGCAAAAAGAAGGGGAAGGTATTTGTCGACGACCAGGTATATCTCCCATGTTAATCTTATAGCGGTCATTTACGTTGATCCCGGAGGAATGCATTTATATTAACTATGATCTCAGGAGAGCATGATGACCATTCTCGCCATGGTGAATGCAGAAAAAGAAGGACAGATAGAATCCAGGATGATAAAGGCCCGGCAAATGGAGGAAATACGCGAGGCAAGGAAGGCCGAGGCGGAAGCCAGGAAGGAAAAGAAGAATGCAAAATTGGTAAGTAGTTTGCTGCCCGGCTGCGAATATGTTACTGGCATATAATATGTATTGTTTTGCATCTAACAGTTTAACAGGAGGAGACGAAAGCTTCACTTCGAAAGTCGCGCCGATCGAAAGAACCTAAGAACAACAACCATGACGAACAGAACGGCGCGAAATCTAAGAAGGGGGGAAAATCTAAAAAAGTTTCTTTTGCCTAAATAAGGCTCTAAAAATATGAAAAGGGGCATTCCCGCTACAATACAAATATACCCAGAGGCGGAGACTTCTCCTCAACCTTCTATATAAAGTGCGGTTATCCTTAACTCGAGAGACAAAAGAGGGTCATTGTCAAACCGAGAGAAACTCAATACCTATAACGGAATTCCGTCACCTGGATCTCCGAACTTTGCAGTGGGATGGAATATAGTTTGATTAATACCGTAGGGTAAAGGATGCGGTTATTCTCTGCCGTCCGGGATGGGCATATGCAATTTCCGCCTCATGGGCGTGAAGTCCGGATGGGGACCATCAACTCTTTCAGGAGATGCCGCAGGGTTCAAGTTACTCTTGCTCTCCATCTCCTCCTCCACTACTGTCAGTGGAGCATCAAGGTCGATTTCAGATACCATTTTATTGAGAAAATTGACAACCTATAATCCATAGGTTAGAAGTCGAATCTCCATGGGCATTATGCATGGGTGGAAGACTTAGTGGGCGATGCTCAGCGGATGACATAATTGAATGAAATCGTTAGTAACTTACAGGTTTGGTGAACCATCTTCCTCCTCCGTACTCAAACCAGCTTAGATGACCTCCCCAGGAAGTAGTACACATTACTGCGTACGGGGTCTTGGTCATCTCAAGGTATGGTAGTGCTTCTTTTGAGGAAATCTAAGCCACGATGTTAGTACCTCGACATCCTATTATAATGGGCAGGGTTTGATTTCGTACCGCGTCATCTTCCGCCTGGATGGCAAAAAGAGGGATCTTTACTGCGAACAGTGAGTCGATGGAGGAAGCATCGCGATAGTAAGCAGTTTCAGTGGGATAACCCCAAACAGGCGCTTGTAATTCTCTGAGAGACAGATAAGCAAAAGCTTTTGGCTGGGTTCAACCATTAATCGGACAAACTTACCTATCAAACTCGTGAAGATAGGTGGTTTTCCGGACTCGTTCAACATTGACTCGAGGGTGCTCCCGTAACTTGTCAACATGTCTTTATACACTGGTAGTTAGAAATATGAGTCCTGGTTATATACGGGGTTTTTGCGTACTGTTCAAAGAGCCGCCTCATACTCGCCCCCATAGTTTTAGAATATATCTGCAATCCCACCCAGGTCCTTTGCAATGCCAGGGAACTAACTTCAAGATTCCAGGGATTTGAGCAGACGACTGCCGCCTTTAACTGGCAATCCTCGCCTTCCTCTCCAACATACTAATCGTGTATATATGTATATCAGTAACCTGTATGGGCCGTCATAGATAGCAGAGATATAATAATGACATGGCTTACGTTTGTCAGGATATTTGCGCCCAGTGAGAATCCAATTCCAAATAAAGGGCGGAAAGGGAAGTTCTTTCGTAACCAGCGTACGGTCTGTCGAACATCCCAAGTTGCGCGCGCATTGTATAATATCGAACTTGTAACCTTGGAATTTGCACATCCTCGGAAGTTAACAACACATACTTCCCAGCCTTGCTTGTGGAGCGGATCGACTATATTTCGTAGGTATGGTTCGTGTGATCCACCGGACAAGCCATGTAAGACAACAAGCATGGGCTTCTTATCGTCAGACGGGAGGGCTGAGAATTCCTCCTTTGTAAAGAAGCTTGTGCGGGGAGATGGGTGTGTTGAGTCTGGTGGAGTAGAAGATTCAAACGTGCCATTATCAGACTGCTCAGAAGTAAGGGAACTGCTTGTCTTATTGACGTCGTAAGGCGGAACAACAAAATCCACTTCAAAGCTCCCGCGATAGTCGGGGCTGTCCCCTTCAAACCGCCATCGCTTGTAGTAAACCGGAATATCATCTGTTCTCATAAGGGTCCATGCCGTCTGCAAATGCCCATTAAACAAGAAAGGATTTAGCTGGCAGTCAGCGGGTGTAGCAGATTTGCAGAGGTCAGCAAGGGAGATGTATTTCGACTCGTCCACTCCAGGGCCTTTCTTCTGTGGTTTTCGTTTTAAGATGACAGATTTCCCAGCATGATGGAAGGACACCCTCCCATTAGGGAGAAACCAGGAGAGAATTCCCATCTGCGTATTGCGTAGACGCGATATTTTGGCTTTTGGATATGCCACAAGTTGTCTTCTAATGTCTGTTTGCTATCCAGACGGTTGGGAGGGGTATATAAAAGTGTTTGTCAAGATCCTGCGGTGAGCCACGCTAAAACGAAAAGGGTCAATGGATAAACAATAAGCAAGACCGGCTTGTATTACTGCAATCAAATCTCTATGAGCAGAGCTGGGAGAGGGAAAAAGTTGAACAAGGGCCCTGGAAGATATAAGACTTGGAATCTCCGAGCTTATCTTATCAAAGCTTCCATCTTTTTCTTCAGCCGAGGCTCGGACATAATTTTATGCCGGTTTTGTGGAAGAACTCTAAAAAGAGGTAAATTTTATGCAAACTTTAACTAATTTCTCTACCTACAGAGTTGTTGGAATGCCACGTGAACTGGGGGAAGAGGGATAACAAAGGTTATCATAATCGTTATCTACGGGAGACTTCATTAACGTCCTGTATATCGTGAAAAGCAGAAGAAGGAGTAGAAGAACAAGGAGAAGAACAAAAACAAGAGCATCGAAGAGGGCGGTATAGAAGGAAAGCGAACACTCCTGAGGGATGGGAAGAAAACGCGGCAACATCTAACAAGTTGGCAGGAAAATGATGTCACACGAGGCTCTCTCGTGCTGTTATTATACAAGGTAGTCTAGAATGCCATTTACGTCGCTGTCGCGGTGCCTTGGTATCGAAGGATTGCTGGTAGCTATCATGATGGTATGCATGTTTATCGAATAACGGGGCGGCTTTCTCTTCTGTCGGTTCGATTATCGTGTTTGCAGCCTTAACTTCCTCAACTGTAGCTCTAATTTCGTACTCTCCAGCACAGTGAATAGTAATGCCTAGGTTTATTTGTCTCTGTTCCCTGGGGCCTAGAACCGGAAGTGCTCGTTGAAGCATCCCTGTACAGGATAGGCGCCTTGATAATTCAAGCGCAATTGTATATGGTTGGTTGCGCAAAGTAGGCTGAATCCGGATAATGGGATGAATTGGCTTTGAAGAGCGGTTGAAAAGCGTGGTTTGAAGGTTGAAGAATGTGTCAGTTGAAACGGAGAATCTTGACTGTCCTGTTTGTAGGATAGCTGGGTATTGGTCACTGCAGGATTCCTGGTCGATTGTTTTCTGTAGCGGCAGAAGATTAAAGCTTGGCTCTATGTCGTCTACTCGGAGTGAGCTGATCATACGATTGGTTAACACAATCGCACGGAAGTCAATAACTCCTTCACGGCCCGTAACCTCGTCCTTCCATAGCCCGTGGAGATTCTCGAACATCTTTTCACGAAGCCAGAATGCTTCTCTTTTGGCAGTTTCCGCCTCATAGCTAAGCTTATTAGCGCTAACTACAAACTGCCGCCTATTTGCAGCATTTAATACCGGAATTTTCTGGTGGGGATCATCCAGGTATATCCGTGGAATAACCAGGGCGAAGCGAGAGAGGTGCCCGGGTTGTAGTACATCAGAGACTTCCTGTAAATGAAGAGTCGAACTTCCGGCCTCGGAACGATCAATTTTTTCCTCAGTCGAGTCAGTGACCTTCAGATAAGCAGATATTGGGTTAGGCCACGAGTTTCGTAAATCTATAAGCAATAAGCAGTAGTCTGATCCTGTGTATTTCGATCCTAGTTGAGATATAACTGGTGATATCTGTGGATCATTTCGGCCACCGGTAGAAACAATCGAAGGGTCAGGTAAGGTGGCATATGTCGTTGGGTGCTTTTTTGATTTTATATCAGAGGATGCATCACCGATCCATCCAAGATGACCATTGAAAGGCAGGATCTCGCACCGGGAAATATTCAAGCTGGCATTGACGGTGACAGTCAAGGGTATACTGATCTGCCTGGTATAAAAAGTGTCTGGAAGTTCCGAAGGCGATGCACCAATACATGCATAATCAACTTGAATAGTGGCTTTTCTAAGGCCAGGCTTGCCTAATACTTCAATTGTAAACGTCTTTGATTCACCAGGGTCAAGGGATGGTATTTCTTGCCCTGGTCCGGAGGTTCGTAAACGTAATGGCGGCCGTTTCAACATCTGATATTCCAACTCGTAAATTTCTGTAGGCAGGTTGTCTTTGTTGTTTAATGCCACTTGTAGATGAGCTGTTGTAGAATCTTGAAAAGTAAAGAGAAGGAGATCAGCAGGACAATCGGATGTGTTATGTAATGTAATCTCAAACAAGCTAGTTTCCCCTTCTAGCATCATTATTGCAGATTGTAAAAGCGAGGAGCTTCGCACTTCAATCATGGGCTGCGCTTTGATAATATTCGCAGACAAAGTCGTAGTTTCTGGCGGTTTCCTCGAAGGTATTGCTCCTTGGGATGTATTCGAACTCCATGAGGTAGGCCGCGATAAGGAAGGGTCCTTAGCAGCTAATCCGCTGCGTTTGAGCTTGGTTTCCGCCACGGATTTCCATATCTTCTTGAAGATAGGGAATCGTCTTTCTCGGCAAAACTTTACCTTGACAGTGCATCCAGTGATTTTGAGCACACCTTCCTCTGCAGCTAATAGAGTAACCCCGATTTCCTGCAGACAGAATGGCGCAAGGAGAAGATTTGATGCACTGGCATCAAAGGCAATGCCTTCACCTTCAAGTTGTATGTGTTCAATCTCGAGTTCAAAGTCGAATGGGTTTTGTAGAATAACCCTTGCGGTTGCAGGCTCGCCAGCAATCAACGGTGCCTCGGCGGTTGGTGTAAGGGGCTTGGAGAATGCATTATAGATAAATGGTTCTGTTTCGCCGCCTTTTTCAGTACTAAAGGTAACCCCAAAATCTTGCTTCGTTCGTCGAACAGGAGGTTCTGCACCCGAAGGTTGTATCAGCACATCGCGAACCAAGAAATCATCCCAATATTCAGCTTCCAAATTTGACACCCCGAGCTTGTGTGCAACGCTGACTGTGCGTTTAACCGTATTGTATAAACGAGTTTGCTCGTCGGGACTCAGAAGTGGCCTGTTCTTCTGAAGATCTGTGGTGAGCATATATGTGCCTTTGGCGGCGTGTAGTAGAGCAACAGTAAACTTCAAAACGCCGGAAAAGTCAGGCAGTGCTTCACAGAAGTTGATACAGGATTTAAGTATATCAATCTTCAAAGCCAAGTCGCCATATGTATCAAGGGCAGAGTTCTGAAATGTACGCTCAATGATTGCCTCAATTGAGTCATAGTCAAAATCATGTCCATCATTCTGCCATTCGCTGTTTATCCGTCCGTTGGTAAGCTTAGCGCCATAAACCCCTCCAATAAGAGACAGAACCGATCTTAAACCTGCTTCCATATTTGCAGGGCCAATATCCAAAGCGTTGATGTCGAAAGAGGCATTGCTGAGGGCAGATAATCCTGCAGCTGGGTGAATGCCAATTTCTGCCGCACCAATCTTCCTAGCTTGTACAAGTCCAGGGATGAGTATTGAGAAAAGCTCCTTCAGAACGAATGCCCGCTTTCGCTCCATTCCTAGAGGCGATAAGACAGCAGCCACACCAATGAATATCTGAACCGCATCTGTCACAGGAACATCCGAAGATAGTGAAGATGGGAGTGCACGGAATAAGAAAGACGTTATTTCAGTTTTGCGAAAAGTGTTGGATTTTCTTTGTTGGTCGGGTAGTGACATGCGCTCCAGGGGTTTATTCAAGACTACATGCTGTAGACCGTCGGTATCAAGAGAACCATCGCGTACTTGCATGGTTGTCAGAAGCTTTGCAAGTCTTATGACTGTTTCCGAGAACACTAGTTGGGGAAGCGGTTCATCCGTTATATTAATAGCTCGATTGTAGAGGCTTAATATATAATTGGAAATGTCAGGAAGAATGCTCGCGAGGTTATGGAGAGCCAAAGATCTAGCTTCAGGTTCTGACTTTCCACGAGACTCGATGTTTCCTTGAGCTGGGGTAGATTTTGCGATTGCCCTGTCGCCATTAGGATAACATATGTGAGGAATCTTTAAAAGAAAACACCATGTCTGTCAGATATACATTCTAAAATGGAAGCAATCAAAGGGAGATTGCATACCTGAAAACTTGCACCCACCCACCCAAACAGAAGAAGACAGATCAATATCGCTTCTAAGGCCTTTGCATGCCATATATAATCACTCCCAGACCTGGCAATGGAAGCGCCTTCTATAAGATCTTTGAGGGCCTCAGGCCATAAGCCTCCTTGGAGATGCAGTATGCCGGTAAGAATATGAAGACGGCCCTGGAAGCGAGCTTTTGCTCTCTCGTTGGATGCAAGACTGGAAACGCCCACCACTGAAAATCGATCTCCACTATTTTCCTTGGACCCGGGTTTGGAACTAGAGCTAAGGGTTGAAGTCGTTTTGTTCGATATTTGGATTGAACGGGTAATTTCATCGAATGTGGTAGGGGATTCATGGTTGACAATTGGGGGCGATTCGGTGCCTTCTAAGGATTGTTCAGTTGGTCGTGATGGTAGATGTGCTGGCATTGTCATTCTATGGGAGACCTTGTCGGGTGACTTAGCATCTAAAGTCCGTCGTGGACCCCAAGATGATACCTTTGGAGATTCAATACTTTGCCATTGCGGTATTGATTCTGAGAATTTTTGTAGCCCTCCTAGGACTCGGGCAGATATGTCACACATTACCGTCTTCATGGTTGTGGGCCGTGATGCTTCCGGGCTGGGTATCCATATTACCTGCTCAGGGCCAGAAACTATGTTTTCTAATCCATCATAGTCGAAAACTAAGAGCTGTTGGAGTACAGATTTAGGGTAATCTTGGTTTATCCCATCTAGCTCTTGGATAAGCTGGTCAAGACCCTCCGGGGTAGGATGCTTATTGCGTTCAATTCCACTGGACTTCTTCTTGAGTGGATCATTTCTATCCCCCTTTTTTCCCCTTGCGATCTCTGTACCATCGGCAACTGCTAGAATGATAAGCGGCTCCCTGAAAAGCTCAAAAGGAAACACTTCTAGGTGGGAGATAGGGGGTACGGATATAGATAGGTCGTAGATAATCATTCCAGATGGGTAGGCAAGCGGAGAGAACGAATCTAGAATTAGTGAATGTTAGTTATAGGGTAAACCATTAATATGAAGCTTTTCCTTCGGTTTTGGAAGCCTAACGGCTTTTCCATACTCTTGCTTAAGCTCCCTTCTGGGCTCACATCCCCCAGACGAACTACATTGTGCGCTCGAAGTCGCTCGGCGAAGCCTAAGAACCTGGATCGCCTGATTCTACCGGTGGGAAGTAACAGGACCCGTAGGCGCGCCGGCGCAATAGGAGAAAGGGGGTCAATTGTCATTGTAACATTGAGATCGGAGGCTGGTCGTAGGAATTCACGGCTGGTCTGGATTGCGCGCGAAGTGGTGTTTAAGCATCGCAGGGGCAAATTCAGGTCATTAACTAAGCGGTAGGCAGAGGTCTACCGTCTCTGCAATCTGCAAATGCGTTAACAGCTCAGGCGTCTTCATCGATCGCGAGTCTGGCGAGAGTCCATCGTAGTTAACTAGGTAGTTAGCGTAGCAGTTACAGATTTTTGGGCGGTTCGTGTTGACATCACCAACTTTGCGTCCGTCACATGAGCTGGAGTTTGGTCGACACTTCGACGTTGTGGTACTTTGACACGTTCAAGAAACAAAAATAGCACAAACGCCCGTTTATCAGCTAACCACCAGTGCGGGACACAAAGGAGGTATTCGACGAGCTCCATCTATCTGATACCATAACTACTTTCTCGTTCACTGCTTCGTTTGGCCTGGAAAGGCCGCGAAGTAGGATCCTCTCTGCGTCATATCTGGCTGGAGCCTAGTAGTTCAGCAGAGGCGTACCATCCAAGCAACGGGGGATGAGTCGGTAATTGTGAGGCCTTGAACATATATTCTGAAGACCTAGTATATGTTATACGAATGACGTACTATGGCAAACAATATTGATTTCACCTCGCTGAAGGCGAGAGCCATTGGTTCTGGCTTTGATGAAGAAGCTGTTACAGTGAACACTAGAGCTCTAATAGATAAAGTGCTAGCACGATACTCTGGAGAATGGTGATTATTTTTCCTTTTTGATTGTTTAACCTATCCAGCACTGACGCTCTTGCTTAGGACCGTGTTGCGAGAACTCATACAAAACGCCTCGGATGCCTCGGCCACCAGAGTGGTAATCAAATTCGAAACTACGCCATCTATGACAGTACCTGCACCTACCGCTACAGACGACAGCTCACTAATAAAACATGTTATATCACACCATACCATAAAACGGCTCTCTCTGCGAAATAACGGCACTCCGTTCAGTGCCAATGACTGGGCTCGGTTGAAGCGGATAGCAGAAGGAAACCCAGATGAAACAAAAATAGGAGCTTTTGGTGTTGGATTTTACAGTGTATTTTCTGATTGTGAAGAACCATTTGTCTCCTCTGGCAAAGAGGCGATTGCGTTTTACTGGAAAGAAAACGCACTTTTTACACGTCGCTTACAGCTAGACGAGAGAGACTCCAGCCCTGACACGGTCTTTGTGCTTGATTATAGAAATACTACCTCGCCAATCCCGGGACTCATGCCTCTCTGCCAGTTTCTTGCCAGTAGTCTTACCTTTGTTGGACTAGAGGCTATAGAACTTTGGTTGGATGACTGGAACTTGTTGAAACTCTCAAAGAAGCTTGCCCCAGGTGTTCCAGTTATGATACCCAGAGACATATCAACCAAAACTCAGGATGGAATAATGAGGGTAGCTGATATAACCCGGGAGGTTGCTCAGCTGGATGCTGCTTGGATGAAGGCGGTAGGTTGGAAATCTCCGACTAATCCATCTAGGTACGAAGGCAACCGCGTACATGATACTACAGCGTCTCTAAGGAGTTTCTTTTCTCGACTCACTGGCTCATCCACGACTGATGATAAATATTCAAAATCTGAGAAGACTAGCCGGAATGGCGCTGAAGAGAACCTTCTTGCTTACAAGGATTCCTCCGTCTTCCTCCAAATCACTACCGGCCACATTAAAACATTAGTTTCACCATCTTTTAGCCACGAGTTAGAGCGGGCAACGAAAAAGCCGCCTCCAAAAATAACGAGGCTTGCGATACTTACCACGTCATATACTGCTTCCCCCGTTTCCGCGAGCCCTGACACACAGGCTATCTTTGGCAGTGTTGCCCCATCCCGTTCTGGAAGAATTTATATCGGTTTCCCGACTCACCAGACCACAGGCTTGAACGCGCATGTATCAGCCCCATCGTTGATTCCAACCGTGGAGCGAGAGAGCATAGATTTAAATGCTCGTTGGGTTCGTACTTGGAACCTTGAGCTTCTGCGAGTTGTTGGGATTGTTTGTAGGATTGCTTGGTCCGCTGAGATGTCATCTCTAAAGGATCAGCTCCTTTTCAGACTTAAAAGGTCCGGAAGGTCTTATCTTCAGAAAGAAGATATCAGCGCAGTTCTTCCGGAGACCATTCATATTTCAAATCAGTTTGTCTTTCGGGAGTCAACTCCGACTTCACAAGTACGGCAGGTGGTTGAAGATTCTTTCTGGACCTGCAGCCAGAATGCCTACTTGGAGATCCTATCTACTCGTGGTATTCTTCCAAGCCACCAAGTCCGGACTGCGCCGAAGGACCTTAGCTTCATGGATGGAATTCCAGTTCTCCCTGAACAGTTGGTCTCCGAAGCTAGGGGATTCGTTGGAAGATTGATCGAGTTCGGTTTAATCACCGAAGTCACAATAACTGATATCAAGACTGAGTTAGAGAATAAGGCCTTAACCTCGCCGCAGCTGCATGAATTTCTTTCATGGATTATTCAGAAGTCTAAGCACGGAGAAATTAACAATGCCACAGTCAAGTCGCTTCTTGCAGTTGCAGTGGCCAACAACGAAGAAGGTGGTAGTGGCCCCGCACTCCTAGTATTAAGAGATATCAGTTGCTTTGCCAATTTAGCCCGCATCGCTCCGGAACTGCCATTACCTCCTTTTGTTCTTCCGCCTAAATTTTCAAAACCATTATCAGCGTCTGGCCTAATGTCGATTGGTTGGCAAGAACTGCAGGTCGATACTTGGGTCCAGTGGCTGGTGCACAACTCGTCTAATCGTAAGCTTTTACCAGCTGAACATGATATAACTCGCTCGCGTGACTTTGCAAGTCGTGTTCTCCCGGTTGTGTCTAAACAATGGGATTCCATACCAGCTAGCTCGAAGAAAGAAATAGTTGATTCTTTACGGCAACATACGGTCATCCCCACAAAGGCAGGGATGAGTAAACCACAAGAGGCATACTTCCCTTCAGTCCGAATATTTGATGATCTTCCAGTTGTCACCGGCCTGAATGGCGTCAAAGAGAAGTTTCTAGGTGACTTGGGTGTGCGGAAAACCGTGGACATTAGTATTATCTTTGAACGTCTTTTGAACAACCCCAAAGACAGGTCAGATACCGGTGCAGTATCCCAGGCGAAATGGAGCCATGTCGAGTTGATCAAATATTTGGCTTGTGTTCGGCAGGATATACCTCCAGAAGATATAACAAAACTCCGCAAGGCTAAAATATGTTCTGCCGAGACAAAAGGCGACGGAAAACCATCCGAAGAACGTTATCAAGTTTCACAACTGTTTGAGCCAAACGCCGCTTTCAGAGATCTTGGTTTTCCTCTCCTGTACTGGCCTGGAAAGTATCTCCCTTCAAGCGCCGAGGGCAAATTTTTGGCCTCTCTTGGGTTGAAGAGCATACCGACAGT